CGCGAAGTAGCATATTCCGTTGGCGTCTCATTGACCAACTTCTTCCTGTTATTAAGCAAAGTAGCAAAGTATGACTCCTTACCCTCTGGATAATAACGCTTTTTCAAGTGATTCACTGCAACACTCAAACTGTGTCTATCTAGAAGGGATAATTCATTCAACAAGGACAAAGCCTTCCCACGCATACATGCAGCAAAATGAACACCAGCAATTTTATCAGTCCATCCATTGCAGGTAGTAATGGATGAAAATTGACACAAATAATCATCCAAAGACATAACATCACCATTAAAAGTATCAGGCTGGATATTCATTCTCATACTATTATTCATACCAAAAGGAACTGCCTTGCAATCAATAACATTACCATTCACACTTGCATGCATAGGTGTAGACTGGTCAACCACACACTCATCAGCAAAATTCAATTTTTTAATAGTACCGGTACCATTCATTATCAGAGCATACCATATCTATCAACACTCTTAGGCACCTCAGGGGTTTTTAAAATAGGTTTAGGAATAAATGATGGCACCTCACCCTCAGCCATGGCCTCGTCAATGCTCTCCAGACGGCATATCACCCGTTTGAGTACTTCCTTCATGCCAAAATCTCTTTCTTCAAGTTTTGCAACACTAGCATAGACTATTTGCAGTTATCTAGCAAGTTCTTTATTTTCAGTGACAGCAAAAGCAAAAAGAGCGAACGCTGCGAACTGAAGCCAGTTCACATATGCAGTGGTGGTTGGAGTCGAGTAACAGGATCTAACTATTGGCCGAATTATGGATCAGACTCCACACACCAATGCATATGCAATACTAGACAAGAAATATAAATAAAATATAAAACAATAAAAAAATAGGACAATCCAGTCCCGCCACACTTGACTATACATACACACGACATTGGCTGATTGTGTACATTATTTAAGTGGCTGTATAAGTAAGTATATAGCGTAGTTTATATGAGCATATTGCATTGGCTGTGTATGTACATTACTCGATTGGCCGTATATGTATATTAATTGGGCTGTATATGCATAGGATATTGACTGCGCTATGCGCATCACTTTCATATGTCTTCATGTGTATAATAGGGTTACCATATTTGAAAAAGCAAAATTCCGGACAGTGCATGACTATGTCGCACAACCTTAGTCCTAACCGGTACACAGAAACTATGTTCAGGTTGTGCGCCATCTTGGTGCGCATACTTCTTTCTGGAGGTCCCTATTTTCATGAGCACATATATATGCGCTACCGAAATTCTAAGGCTGCAAACCTTGTACGATACTCATGCTTACGTTGTACGATACTCATGCTAAAGCGCCAGCTACCGAAATGAAAAGTATTGTCTTCAGTTACAAGCAGAATCTCACACCAGGCAGGTAAGCACACTCTAAATATAGCTACGGGCCGTCGACTGGAAAAACCTCAACTTCAGAGTGAAAAATAAGAATGAGAATTAGATTGTGCCAAAACGGAAGAACAGCAATTACATGCTTAAAAGAAATTAAAGACAATCACTACAAATTTACTCTTCTGGCCATACATATTTTTCTGAAGATCTAATTCTCTTCTCTGATTTCAAAAATGAAAACAATTCACTACAGTGCATATCTTCGAAATTATATTGGAGAGTCAACATGCCTTTTATAGTCGCAACTTGTTTCTCTCTTTAGTCCACTGACTTAGCATCAGTGAAAAGACTCTCTCTACATTGGCATTGTGGGATGTAACAGCAAAGAAAAACAGTTCAATCCTTAAAATTTCGGAGTGGCATGTGATGTTCGTAGACTGATCGAAATATTTGCATCATTTCTTATGCGTTGGCAGTTTAATAAATTTTTCGTCTTGTAGGTAACTTTCCACAAGCTGCTTCAAGTTACAGAATTGGTCAAAGCATTTATCATCGTCCACATCAACCCGTTTACTAATCAGATGTTCCAGGCAAGGCTTTACATCAGGGGTCGGCAACCTTTTGTCGCTCGCGGGCCAAAACCAAAGGTTGCAAGTCATTGGCGGGCCTCATATTTTTAGAATGTTGAAAACCGAACGGATAGCCGATGAATCACATTTTTTCACACAGATCAGAAGATAAATTTAGAGCAGCGCACGAAGACTGACCATTTGAATATTTTCTGCACCCTTAAACCATTTGCGCTAAGCACCAACTTTTCTGCGTTTTGTTGCCATTTGTGTAATTATAATTAAATTATAGGGTCATTAAACGCGCAATTGTGAATTATATACTTGTTAGGTTATAACATAATTTAGCCTACGCGTGTCGCAAAATTAATTCTGTTACGTAAAGAATATAATCGTTAAAACAGCTGTTTTGTTACTATAATCCAGTGAAGCGTCGCGGGCCGGATTATATTGCTCCGCGGACCAGATCCGGCCCGCGGGCCGTAGGTAGCCAACCCCTGCTTTACATCCTTCCAACTTGGTATCTCGTTCAAGGTTAACCATTTCAAACAAGTAAACTCTTCCATTGGTTTCATCCATTTGCACAGGTACTCCAAGCATCTCTCATAGACGTTTGCAACTTTAACACCATTGATAAGGAAAACGCTCTGTTATATTAAAATTCCATACAACCTCGTAGTAAAAAATATGCGCACGGTACGAAATAACAATGTTCTGTATTAGCAGTGTGCACATTATGATTGCAGATGCAGTAAAATTCCGGACATTTGAGCATTTTTTAAAATTCCTCCCGGACGCAAAATTTAACCCTAAATTTTCCGGACGGTATGGCAACCCTAGTGTATAATGAGTGACTATGCACACATAGGGAATTGGCCGTGTACATTACTTGAATGGCCGTATATGTATATCGAAGTAAGTGTATATACATATGGCATTGGCTGTGTATGTACATCACCAAAATCGCTGTATTTGTATATCAATTGGCTGTATATTCATATTACATTGGCTGACATCGGTCCGACCCGCTTGGTCTAATTCGATACTTCCAGCGTTACTAGGTATGATATTACACTGCTAAATACCATTGAATCGACTTTCCATTTAATTTTCTATGTATAAAGTTAGTAGTTAGATAATTATATATATAAAGAATTAAAACAAAGAATAGGACATTGATATCATTTCCACGGGTTTGCAAAAATCATTTTAAATCAAAACCAATTTTACCTTCTGCATATCGCTCATAGCATAATTTTACGATTTAAAAAAAAACTCTGTATCGCCAAAATCTTCATCTTCTTATGTATTCTTTTTGTTCAAAGAAATACATATTGTAGAAGATGTTTTCCAAACCTTGAACATAAGGTATTACTTTACTCTTATTAATGTGGAAATCAATTGCTACCTCTTATGGGAATCGTAGGTACCTAGTGTAGGTTGCCGCCGGTACAAGTAAATTTTCCTTTATTGTATATATTAACACAATGGTTTTACCAGATTTGGGCGACGAGGCTGGCATCCACCTGTTTTGGGACTGTGTTTAGCAGGCGCGTGAGCCCCGTTTCAGGATTTTTTACACTAAAAACGTCTCTCTGATATCGCGAATAAACATTCGTTTGAATATCACGACTTTGGTGTAGGTACTAACTTAGCGAGAGAGCGATGCGAGGATAGTAAAAGTCGAAGCAGAATTTTTTTAACATTTTCGAAATTATAACTCCGGCAGCGTGTGCAGCTTTTAAAAAGCACTACATTGCCGTAGTTTCACGGCAATGCAAAGGGGATTTTAATAAAAAAATAAATAAAAAAGATACAAAAAATGTGATTTAAAAAAGATCTTGTTTTAAAACAGACTGTTTTTTTTTAAATAATGAACACATATGATTTGGCATAATAAAATAACATTTTTGAGAGTGAATGATTCTCCACCAGTACAAAACTTAACAACAAAAATTGTTTTGTATTTTTTTGTGTCGACCTTCTACCCAAATTTGAATTATAAATATATCTTGACGCAAAATTTATGAAGCATTGCACGGAAAATTCTGAAACACGCAGCGTCAATTATTTCCGAGTACGACAGTATAGAAAACTGGAGATTCAAAAAGCAATTTTTTGAATTCGTGTTTTCCTTATTATCACCCGGAAATAACCTGAAAATATCCGTTTGTTTGTTTTATGTTATATGGAACAAAAGGGAATTTACATTTGCGTTTATCAATTCAGAACAACCTTCATGTTTGGATATCGGTTTTCATATTTTGTAAATTTGAAAATCTCGTAATTTTCAACTTTAAAATTTTGTTTTTGATAAATGAAAATATGAGACATACCCTGAAAATAAGCCCTAGTGTTATTTTGGGTCTTATTTAAATTTCTTCCGAAAAATAACACTAGGGCTTATTTTCAGGGTATGTCTCATATTTTCATTTATCAAAAACAAAATTTTAAAGTTGAGAATTACGAGATTTTCAAATTTACAAAATATGAAAACCGATATCCAAACATGAAGGTTGTTCTGAATTGATAAACGCAACGCAATGTCTGTGAATATTGCCTAACTGTTTTTCTAAAAAACATCAAACCGACTTGAATTTAACGAATAGTTCATGAAGCTCTATGCAGAATCAAAAGGATTGTATTGAGAATGAAATTGGAGAAAATGGGCCTAAATGTACTACATTTTTCGCAATTTGTATGAATGGTTGGTTATACTACGGTTTATAGAGTAAAACTTTCTTTTATATTCCTCGGAGTTCAAAATTACCAATCTGCAGAATGTTGCAGATAAAATAATAAAAACAAATATGTTTAAATATTTTTACAGTTCGTTGTTGTTTGGAACAAATAGAGACAGAATATAATATATATACATCATATCGTCCTTTTATCCATATAAAAAAAGACTTCCTTTATTCTTATCATTTAAAATATTACAAGAAGATTACGTAATGAAATTGAATCAAAAACAATGTGTATTGTTCCAGCTGTAAATTTCTCAGACTTGAGATATGTGTGCATGTCAAAACAATATAATACATGGCTTTTGCAGAGGCTTGTGATTCTATTTCAATGAACGAATCTTTGGCTGCCTCCAATTTCTGCCCGGCGTACTGTGCGTTGATGTTGTTTTTTTCTGTAACAATACATATATGTCATTATATATATATATATATAAATGTGAACATCAATTTTGAAGCAGATGACATCGGCTACACATCATGAGTTGAGTGCTATATTGTCGGCAGATTGATTTGTACTCATGACAAACAGTGTCATGGGTCAAACAATCGTCTATCTCATTCTAGAGAAAAAGTTTCACTCAAAGGCATATTATAACGTTTTAAGGGTATATTTCATTATCTGTCAGTTGGAACAATTCAATTCAAACGTGTAACTCTGGCAACACATCATTGTGTGCTTATTTGACTTCTGAAAGAGGTCAGAATCCCTTTTTAGATCTATTTAATATTCTTACCCTCTACACACGTAGACGAGAACCAAAATGCAGATCAAAAGTAAAATGAGGGAGGCCGGAACAAGTGCTGTTACCAAGATCATATTCTGTGCTGATGCGGCATTATACAACCATGGAATAAAAAGTATAAAAATATCTAATTAAAACAACGTGTATAACATTACGTGAACTTTTTTGTGGAATTAAATCCTTTTGTCAAAACTGTTTCACTGGTGAAATTGTTAAAGAGAAATGCGACGATTTCGGGCGCTCCAGAAGTATGTGTATCAATATGGAGGTAACTAATTTTGACTGTAGTCTATGGCAGCTTTCTTGAATAATTTATTGACTACTGCAACTAAAACGCCTCAAAATACGAAGGACTATAATTTTACAACTAAATTACAGAAACATAATGAAAAAATGGCATTGTTGTGGCAGGTCGTACCTGCTGTTGTTGTCGGTTCGGGAGTTGGTGTAGTTGACGCAGCTGCGATTAAATATAAAACATAATTAATTTTCCAATATTTTATTACGAAATTTATGTGCAGTTTTTGTGATTGATATTTGTCCACGATATTTTGCACCTTTGTCCTCCATGGCAAAGCATGTTTCAACTGTTTGCGAGAATTAGCTTGTGAATTACTGATTATAATCAAGCTTTAGGATGAATAATTTGTTTATGTTTTTTTTTTTAATTTCTGTTGATTATTGCAGCGCATTTCAAAGATTGTAGCAATTCCTGTTCTTTGAATATAAAATGCAGTGCATTTATTTGAAATTTGCACATTATATATACACATAGTGAATATCCGTCTTGGGAGTTCCGGGGTACATGACTTCACGTTTTCATCAAATAAAACAAGGCAAAAAACTGCCTGGTATAGAGGCTACATTTTTATGAACTCACATTCACACTTCGGTATTGGACAATTTTCCCAACGTTTCTCCGAGTCTGTTGTGTAACACCAAGGTCCCGACGGTTCTGCATCAGGATTTCTGCAGAAGTTGTTTACTAATCCAGAATTGGGATTCACTTCTGCAGTTCTGTAAAGTGAGTATAGTAAATGATATTAAGCGTGGTAAAACAGAGAGCGGAAACAGTACAAAAAAAAACGGTAAAAGATGTGTGAAGAAATAAATATTGTTATAAATGTGCTATACACCCGGTTGACGAGCACTGACTTAGGGCGCTGACTCAAACCCGATATAGCTGGGATGCTACTCAGTGCTTATGTATATATGGTCCTAATATGATAGGTTAGTAAGATTTGGTTTTTTTCACGTATACGTCTTATCGTGGACATATGCTGTAAATAAAAGCAATAAGACTATTTTGCGTCGTACTCAAGCATGATCTATGCTTCTTCGAGTGTTCGTAATCACGGTAAGTGAGTCATTATTTTTCGCATATTTTCAATTCTACTACCATATTTTCCCGAGAATAAGACTGGGTCTTATTTAAATTTCTTCCGAAAAAAAACACTAGGGCTTATTTTCAGGGTATGTCTCATATTTTCATTTATCAAAAACAAAATTTTAAAGTTGAGAATTACGAGATTTTTAAATTTACAAAATATGAAAACCGATATCCATTTACGTTTTTAGTCAAAATAACTGCAAAACATAGATTTTCAAACATTTAATACGCGCTGGTGAGATTCCTTGCTATCTACTAGGTCAAAAATTAATTCGCGTAAAATACTAGGTCTTATTTTGAAGGGAGGGCTTATATTGAAATCATTTTTAAAATACAGGCTAGGTCTAATTTTCAGGGTAGGTCTTATTTTCGGGGAAACACGGTATATGTAAGTATTTTAAAGCTTAGAAATATACAAAGAATCTGTTATTACTCGTAAGAAAGTATGCGAGCCAGCAAGCTTTTCCGCACGTTAATAAGCTAGCAATCATTACCCGCACATAAATAAACAAACAAGACTCCGCTCGCTCGCATCAGCTCGGAAAAACAAGTGCTCTTACTATCTTGAATATCGTCGCGTTTCCAACGCGTCAGGGTAAAGAGAAACGCGCACGTGTTTCTTGCAAAGACTGGTGTGAATCGCCGACGTAAATAAGCTGTCCAGCAAGATCTCAGCGAAGTTCTCGCACGTTTGAACAATAAAGTATGACATTTTAGGAGGGGTATACAAAAAGCTCAGAGGGAGGGCGGTTCAATTGGGTTGCTATCATTCCACAAAAACGGATGCAAGATCTTTGACGTTACTAGAAATAGTTCCATTTTTCGGCGTGGCGCAAAAACAATCGATTCAAGATAGTTCGTCGTAAAATGGCTTTATCTTTTCACTAAACCGTGCATGTTCTGCATCCGTATTTAGTATATAACTGTAATTTTATGGTAATGTAAATAATCCATTCTTATAATTATTTCAAATTATTGAATGGTTTAATGAAATACTGAATATCATAAAGTACGATCATGTACCCGTGATTCATATACCTTATATGCTCATGCGGGCTCTGCGAATCCCATCGTTGACAAGTTTTTCCAACATTCGTGACAGCCATATTCCCTCGGTAACTTGCCCCAAGATCAGCCGTATTCCAACAGTCATGAACTGTAAGACAAAAAAATGTGTTAAACAGCCTTCATGATTTTATTGCTGGTATGGATTTCTGTTTTCGTTCCCCAATTATTACGCTCCGATAAGGAATATTGCAAAAAGTATCTTACTTTCTGAAGCTCCAGATACATCTCTGACTAATATCAGTAGAAGAAGAACAGCGGCATATCTTTCGAAACTTTGCAATTTCATTTTTGCAGAATGAACTTTGCCATAACCAAATATAAATCTAGTAAGTTGCTTTTATAACATGTATTAGCAAAAAATAATCAGACATTCAAATGGAGTTTTATTGCAATAATATGATGCGATAAAGAATTGGTTGAAAAAGTATTTTCCAATATATCACACTAATTTTGTTCGCTTATTTTACAACAAGTTGGTAAACGGACTGAATCGTATGGGCAAAGGGATATTCACTTGGCTTAAACAGACACTCTCCAAACTCGTAATAGAACTAAAATATGGAATATCGGAATGAAATTATGACCTAATCCTAACCTGGTACACATACTACGAGAGTACCCGAATTTGTGTAAGCCAATGGATGTTTCGCAGTACGTGACCCCAGAACTATAATCTCTATACTTTATCATTGCCAAATTTTTTATGCTTGTTTTGAAAGTGTTTTCGCTAGTTAAGGTGCACAAATTGCATGTTTGTCAAATTTTAATTCATAATATTTTATTAACTGACATTTAAAATTTTCTGGTAGATAATTTGGGCGTATACGCCAATTTTGACTGTAGTCTATGGCAGCTTTTTTGGATAATTTATTGACTACTGCAACTAAAACGCCTCGAAATACGAAGCGACTATAATTTTACAACTAAATTACAGAAACATAATGAAAAAATGGCGCTGTTGGGGCAGGTCGTACCTGCTGTTGTTGTTGGTTCGGGAGTTGGTGTAGTTGACGCAGCTGCGATTAAATATAAAACATAATTAATTTTCCAATATTTTATTACTAAATTTAAGTGCAGTTTTTGTGATTGATATATGTCCACGATAACTTGCACCTTTGTCCTCCATGGCAAAGCATGTTTCAACTGTTTGCGAGAATTAGCTTTTGAATTACTGATTATAATCAAGCTTTAGGATGAATAACTTGTTTATGTTTTTTTTTTTAATTTCTGTTGATTATTGCAGCGCATTTCAAAGATTGTAGCAATTCCTGTTCTTTGAATATAAAATGCAGTGCATTTATTTGAAATTACTTCTCAATATAGGTTTAATTCTTCCCTTTGCACATTATGTATACATATAGTGAATTTCCGTCTTGGATGTTCTGGGGTACATGACTACACGTCTTCATCAAATAAAACAAAACAAAAAACTACGTGGCATAGAGACTACATTTTTATGAACTCACATTCACACTTCGGTATTGGACAATTTTCCCAACGTTTCTCCGAGTCTGTTGTGTAACACCATGGTCCCGACGGTTCTGCATCAGGATTTCTGCAGAAGTTGTTTACTAATCCAGAATTGGGATAGACTTCTGCAGTTCTGTAAAGTGAGTATAGTAAATGATATTAAGCGTGGTAAAACAGACAGCGGAAACAGTACAAAAAAAAACGGTAAAAGATGTGTGAAGAAATAAATATTGTCATAAATGTGCTATACACCCGGTTGGCGAGCACTGACTTAGGGCGCTGACTAAAACCCGATATAGCTGGGATGCTACTTATGTGCTTATGTATATATGGTCCTAATATGATAGGTTAGTAAGATTTGATTTTTTTTTACGTATACGTCTTATCGTGGACATATGCTGTAAATAAAAGCAATAAGGCTCTTTTGTGTCGTACTCAAGCATGATCTATGCTTCTCCGAGTGTTCGTAATCACGGTGGACGCGTCATTATTTTTCGCATATTTTCAATTATACTACGGTATATGTATGTATTTTAAAGCTTAGAAATATACAAAGAATCTGTTATTTCTTGTAAGAAAGTATGCGAGCTAGCAATCATTACCCGCACATAAATGAACAAACAAAGATTGCACTCGCTCGCATCAGCTCGGAAAAACAAGTGCTCTTACTATCTTGAATATCGACGCGTTTCCAACGCGTCAGGGTAAAGAGGTAAAGGGTCAGGGTTTCTTGCAAAGGCTGGTATGAAAAGACGTAAAAAAGCTGTCCAGCAAGATCTCAGGGAAGGTTCTCGCACGTTTAAAAAAAGGTATGACATTTTTAGGACTGGAATACAAGAGGCTCAGAGAGAGGGCGGTTCAATTGGGTAGCTATCATTCCACAAGAATGAACGCAAAAACTTTGACGTTACTAAACACACTTTCCATTTTTTGGATCTGATAAATATTGAAAGTAATCAAAGAAATTCTCTAAAGTAATTTCCAGACGTGTCGCAAAAACCATCGATTCAAAATTGTTCGTCGTTAAATGGCGTTATCTTTTCGCTAAACCGTGCATGTTCTGCATCCGTATTTATAGTGTATAACTGTAATTTTATATTTTATGCTAATGTAACTAATCCATTCTTATAAATATTTTGAATTATTGAATGGTTCAATGAAATACTGAATATCAGAAAGTACGATCATGCACCCGTGATTCACATACCTTGTATGCTCATGAGGGCTCTGCGAATCCCATCGTTGACAAGTTTTTCCAACATTTGTGACAGCCATCTTCCCTCGGTAACTTGCCCCAAGATCAGCCGTATTCCAACAGTCATAAGCTGTAAGACAAAAAATGAAATTTCAAATGTTCTGGAGCTTCTTGATATCCTTCAAGTATTTCAAAAAAAGGACATATGATTAAAATGTGTTAATCAGTTTTCATGATTTTATTACTGGTATAGATTTTTGTTTTCGATTTTGTTTTTCTTTCGAAATATTGTAAAAAGTATCTTACTTTCTGAAGCTCCAGATGCATCTCTGACTAATATCAGTAGAAGAAGAACAGCGGCATATATTTTGAAACTTTGCAATTTCATTTTTGCAGTATGAACTTTACAATAATCAAATATAAATCTAGTAAGTTGCTTTTATAACATGTATTAGCACAAAGTAATCAGACATTCAAATGTAGTTTTATTACGATAATATGATGCGATAAAGACTTGGTTGAAAAAGTATTTTTTAATATATCACACACTTACATGTTTGTTTTACGTCATATAAACACATTTTGCTAGCGATAAGCGCTTTAAGAGATTATAACCTAAATTTTTGGAGATTTGGAAGTTTCTAAAATGGGAAATTTTGACTTGCTGAATTTGTAACTGTAAAACATTTACAACCACGTCCAACATCTTTAACAGAGCGCTCTTCAGATGACCACGTCCAAGATTGTTTCTAGATCTTTGATTAAATAAAAAAAATTCCAACGTTGCACGTTCTTTGGCCAATGTTCAAATCAGTAATAAGGTCAAATACCAATTAATATTTGCAATCTTAATAGCACAATCTTACCAAATTGCAATTGTTTATTGTGTCTTCTTGAACTAATATTGACATCATACCAAAGCGTATAATGAGTTAAAGTCGGTTCCCCACCGCTGACCTCATATAGGCATTTAGGTTACTCATATTTCCGCAATTTTCTTACTCATTTTCGAGATTGCCAATACATGAAGCAGAGCTTGACTCTGTTGGTAACTTGTATTCAAAATCAAGATTGACCTCATTCAAATCTCACCAAAATTTCAAAACAATTGCTTGAGTAAACATACATTTGAAAAACTGCAGTATGAATATTTTTAATTACACTCTGTGCGTGAGTATAACTGAAAGTTAGACGTTGAACGCACAGAAAATAATCTTCACATGGCACGTTGAAATGAATGTTAGTCGACATCAAAGCAATCAGATATATATGATATTCTTTTTTTAGTTCTTTTTTTTTCTAAATATCAAATCCATGCTGACTTAAACCTTGCTTTTTTGTTATCTTATATTCATGCGTATATTTCATTGAACTACACTCAGAATTTCTCAACTTTCCTAATTTGTTTTCTCTATATCGCCATTGACCACTTCCAGTATTTAGTTTTTGAAAACGCAAGTTTTTGAAACTTGTGGACGGCTAGGGATGCCACTTTTGGATTTGCGAATCTAATCGATTCGTATCGCATTTTTTTCGAAGCGATTCGAATCAGATTTACGCGATTCAGAAAAAGCAAGCAATTTACCGAAGGAAAACAAACATTGAACGCTTGTTCATCATTGTTATCGGCGACGTTAAATCTTCCGAATGCGTTCTTTCGGCACTTCAGATAACACCAAATAACGGGACGAAAATGAAAATGAATTTTTCGTTATTGACTTTTACTGATCGGACGCCGTTTATTTCAAGTTCGGCGCAACACACTTTTTCACGCATCACTCGACATGCTGTGTGGGGGTAATTTTCCTCGAACTGTAGGTTCAGTATTCCACTGAATGACCTAAGTTTCTTTTATACACGAATTCAAGTGGATCGTATATCCGAAAATTTGCGACAATTTTGATAAAAATTTGCAACAGCACACCAGCGCTGCGACTAAGTTATGATACATCTTGGTATGATTGGATAACTAATCAGCTACCGACTTTTAAAAATGATTTAATTTTGATTGGAATATAATTTGAACGTCGTTCAGGGTGAAATATTTTGCGTATGTTTGAAGAGACACGGATAGTGTTAAGAGAACTATTACTGAATAAGTTCATTGGCCGGCCATGTTAATTGATACTCATGTTATCCCAAAATATATTTTTAATCTATTTTATTCGCATTTGTTATGCCTCTGCTCGACTGGCGGTAATTGAAATGAGGCGAAACATAATGTGGTAGAACATATACGTTTCTTCTTCCGCTTAAAAAAATGTAACATTTTCTTTTAGTTTTCTTAGACTGATATAAGCGGGGAATAAAATATTTCATGTTATTTCTAGCAAGTGTCATAGCGGGCAGGTGGGAGTAGATAATACTTGAGGAATGGCACTTGTGCACTTCTTCACATTAACACGCGCCAGATTTCATACCAGACATGAGACAAAGCATAATATGCGAATGTCGTTTTACTTTAGCTCAAACAACATTGTTTAATTGAAATACACCGTCGACCAATTATCGCTCGTCAGCGCAGCGTCTATTATGCACATTTGGACTTTCAGAATTACAAAATTGAACGTAGTCCAATATAATTAAAGTTTGATAATAACGGTTATAGCCAAAAAAGATACGGGTCTTTAATATTTAGGAAAATAATTTTTGGCAGTCGTAGTCGGTTGAACGATTATGTTTATCGAATTCTTTTTTCGTCTTCAAGAATTTCCCATTTATTGTAATTCACAATCAATAAAAATGTTTGCTGTCTCATTACACTATGCGGCTAGTATAAATTTGGAATGAGTATCTTCTTGTTTAGCAAGCTCTATCACAACAATCAGCATATATAGTACAGAGATGATGGAGCGCTGATCTGCGTATAACAAAAGTTCTCCTTTAGGCATTTTCCCAAGCCACAAATTATTGTAAAAAATCATACTAATATTCAGGAGATAGAAAATCTGTAATAAGGCGGGCCTTAATTCAATATACCAATATCTGAAATACCACAGTTACATATGCCGGCATGGAATTTCTAGAAGCAGTGCTGTTACTATGTTTATGACATAATGGTACAATAGAACTGTTCTCTCATTTTCGCATGTGAATTTCATCAAATTGCCTCAGTCCTGATACAAGTACTGCATGTGTAAAGCGCAAACCTACACAATAATAACCCAGTATAATAAGACTCGCAGCTGACTTGCAACAGCAAGCTCTCCACCAATTATTGTAGGGATTGGTGATAACAATGACCTACATCTTTTTATAATGATGAAAATATGTGAGGCTCATTCACTCAAAAAACTTTGACATCAATCATACCTAGTATGTTTGTGTGTCAATGTTCCATTGTCAAGTTTTTCTCTTCTAAATTTGGGCTAGTTTTTGGTGACTTTGGGCAAACCAACCACAAACAATTCACAAATGAAATAATCGGATACATTTAGGGAATATCCACATGCCCGTAATTTTTGATGAAAAATATGTAGTAAATTTTGCAGACTTTATTTTTTGTAAGATTCATACTCTTTATTGCATGTTTAATTAAAACAACAAAATCCTCAACAGAATAATCACTTCCTTCGACCAGTTGACCATTGGATTCGTAGCAAGTTCAGTGCTGCAACACAGATAACTAATACAGGATTGGATTCGATAAATCTTTCATCTGCATCATCTATCATTCATAACTTTTTTTTTGTTGACCTGGCTGATTTTTATTTGGTAAGTAATGTTCTCAATCATTTGCTCTTAACTGATGATCTTTTAAAGGATAATAATTCATTTTCTCTCGATGTGGTAGATGGAGTCGTCGTTTATTGATTCAATCTCATTGGAACCGAAAATTTGAATTCTTTGGAGTATGCATTTCAAATTTTAGACTTTTACTAGTGACGATTGAAGTTGAAACAAAGCATTAAGTTGAATAAGCATTCCCAACTGACAAAAGCAAGCGGCATATGCAAATGACTCATTTAGTTTTTTTCAAACGACTCGGAATTTGTATTCTAGTTAGCAAACGCAGATTTATTCACGATAAAGATATCAGATCTGCAGATTGTAAGTCTCATTACCTAATCTTTTTCCTATGTATTTTAGTAAGGTTTTAATTCAGTTTTCAGCGATGATTCATCATCTGCGGAAAGTGTTGCAATTAAAAAAAAATTTGAATTTATATTTGAATCATTTCTTCGTCTCCTATCTCCTTTTATGCCATAAATTACAGAAGAATTGTGGCAAAGACTCCCAAACAAAAGTGAAAATTAAGAAAGTATTATGCTTGCCGAATATCTTACGGTAGAATCGGTATGTTCGGAACAATCACAGGAAATTTATCTGACATTTGAGTTACCTAATATTAGTCTGCCGTCGTAATTTTCCATGAGAAAAAGTATTCTACCTTTTTCAATCAACTTGGTAGAGGAATACTATGAAAGTTGGGGATGAAATATTCTCAAATCTGATTATTACAATTTAAGTTAAAATATTCAGTATATTTCTTCATTTGTATTTTAGCATAACTTCAGAAATATTCAATTAGAAAATGAGATTGGAAAGGTTAGAGATGCGATTCAGTTGATAAGAAACATAAGGCAAACATACCGCTTGCCCAGTGCCCTATCTAATATTTAAATATCTTGCCAGTAAATACATAATGTATATATTTCATTTGATTTTGTTTTTAATTATTAATTAAGATTTAATTTTAGGATTTTTCGTAGAAATGAAGATGATCATGCTTTTTCGAGCAACGTGGAAGTTATAAAAGCCTCACGAAATCATGTGTTATCAAGATATTTGATAACGAGGCTGAGAAACTTCCTGGTTCTGTATCAAACAATATTCGAAATACAAATATTCAAGTCTTTGTGCAATTGAAGGTTTGTCCGTTTTTTGTTTTGTTTAAATGTTCGTGCCAGGTGGTTCTGTAATAATCAAGCGGTTGAAGATTGATTAATTTTCAAACTCGAAATTGAATGTTTTATTAAAAATGTGTATTTTCTTGGATTTTAATATTGATGAATAGTGTGCTTACAAATACTTTATGAAAAAGAGAGATACCTGAAATAGCAAATTACTCTTTTTTTGGTATACTTTATGCAATTTCATTACACTGGATTTTTTGCATATCCATAGTCTGGGTAAATTCGTCTTATCTGAACTTCTTCAAAATTGCAAAGTATATCTACATCAGAAAAGGTATTTATGTATGCATTTGAAGCAATCACTTTATTTATTGGTAATATTAACCATATTCCAAAAAATTCATTTATTTTTATTTTTCAGGGTCTTATTGACATTGAAACAGAAAAATAGTGTCTTTATATCAAAAAAAAGTTTGCTGCAAAAGGAATTTCCTGATTTGAAAGAAAATCAAAAAAATATTACTAAGCAACACTCATTGAAAAAAATCCAATATTTTGTGGTTGAAACTTTGTTTCAATTTAGTAGTGGTGTTATATGTTGAAGATAGTTAAATTTTATTATAGAAAGTTTTTTTTTGCCCACATATGTCCCCGGGCGCCACAATGGGGCTTGCAAAAGTTTCACAACAAGGATAACAAAACGGCCACAAGCAAGATTGCACCGGCGGCAGACATCTAGTCTTAGTACATGGCCAACTGCACACTTGGTCAGACCACTTACGTCGACTGCCGACGTCATCAGGCACATAGCTCGCGCACGGTCTGATTTCCATCGTAATTACATGGCCAAAAAAACTGGCCGGGAAACAAAGCAAAAATTAATTTGGTAACGTTAGGTAACAAAATGCACGGGGTTAATTACGTGGTTCTGTATCGTTAAACTTGAATTCCAGAAATGATAAAAATGTTGGAAACTTTCTCGCGCTGATCAAACTCATTGCTCAATTTGGTCCAGTACTGGCAAAACACGTCCAACATGCTGAACAGAATCCGGGATCAGTTTCCTGTTTGTCACTCGAAATTCAGAATGAATTTACCCACATACTTGCATCAACTGTAAAGAGCAAATTGCTGCGGGATATAAGGAAAAGCAAATACTACGGCATCTTACTTGACCCAACTCCTGATTTAGGACATCGGAAACAGCTGTCTCAGATCATAAGATTTGTGGATGTTAATTTTCAAACCAAACAACTAACTATCAAAGAATCATCTTAGGTTATATCGAGATACATTCAAAAGATGCAGCAAGCCTAGAGAAAGTCATCGTCGACAGACTAAAATCTGACGTCATATCTTTAGCCGACTGTCGAGCACAATGTTACGACAATGCTGCTGTGCTAGCAGAGCCTATTTCTGGCCTTCAACAACGAATATGTGACAGAAATAACAGAGCACTGTTTGTCAGTTGTGACAACCACAGCTTAAATTAAGCAGGATTACACTCAACTAAGCAAGATCCAGTTGTCGTCACATTTTTTGAGATTCTTGAAGATATATATTCGTTTTTCTCTCATTCAACAATTCGTTGGGAAGAGTTCTTCCTATAACAGTAAAACGAGAGTCTGCCAACACGCTGGAGTGCACGATAAGAAGCTGTGAAAGCTATTTTTGAAAGACTGGATGAACTGGTACAATTCCTAGAAAAATCATCAGTGGACTCAACTATGACACCTGAAGCTAGAAGTGGTGCAAAGCAGTTACAGGCCTGCATATTGAAATTTAATTTCATAGTTTTATTACAATTCTGGAATACCGTTTTTGGAAAAATTGATCGTGTACAGAAGCACTTACAGGATCCAGGGGGTTCAGGTAGATAGACGAATTAGGCAACGTAAGGGAATGCCTGGACAACTGAAAAAAGATGCAAGACTTTCACCAGAAGAAGAAATTGTGCGCGTTATGAAAAATGTATTTGATCGGCTTAAGCAGGAGATGTCAACACGTTTTTCACGACCAAAAGACTTAAAACAACTTTTGATTTCTGCTTGACGTTAAGACTCTTCTATCCGACACAGATGAGGATGCAATTTGTGAAGATTGCACAGATTTTGCAAATTTATACGACACGGACATCAATGGCCACGAACTTTTCACCGAAATTAGAGATTGCAGAATGCTGCTCAGTAACAGAACTAAAGGTCAACAAAAATTCCTTTAAATTTTCTTGGTTTTATTGTGTCTTTTGGAGACGACGTTTTCCGGAATCTGCAAATTTCTCTACAAATTTTGTTAACAATACCAGTTTCAATTGCAAGCTGTGAACGGTCTTTCAGCAAATTAAAACCTATTTTGTCGTATTCGCGTGCATCAATGGGACAGGATCTTGTCAGTGATCTTGCAATTCTAAGTGTTGAAAGAGAAACATTGGGAAAAACAGATTTTGATGACGTGATTAATCAGTTCGCGACAGTAAAATAAGAAAAAAATAAATTTATTGTAGACTATGTAAATCATCTTTGACAGTAACTGAGTAGGACATTATGAACATATGCTTTATTTTGTATAGCTTTGCTTCTTCTTTAAATAAACTGTTCCATTAAAATTTGAATTGTTTATTACATATACAATTTAATGTTATAGAAAATATGATTGAACGTGGAGGTCGGGGCGCCAATTTTATAGTTTGGTACGGGCGCAAAATATTCTGGCTACGCCACTCGGATAGGTAGAAGGTTTCGAAATCATAGAGAGCGAAGGTTATTGTTATATACGGTTTATTTGCCCGACTAACCGAGGTTCAGCGTCGTTTTGATTCCAAGTTGATTTTTCTGCGAATAAGACATACAAGACAGTGGTGCTGTATGAACCTGGTCGCATTCGAGCAATGTGAATGTACTTTGAATTGTGTTCAGGATGCGTTTCTTATTAAATAAAATATGACAGCAGGAGTTTCGTTGAAATAGTAGATCCCAGAGCGCCCTCTACTACTCTACAAGTACTGCAAATTAAAATTGATTATTCATCAGTTACAGACAAAGTTATAGTGACACCGCGTGTCCCATCACTAATTCATCATTAACTCTCTAATTATACGACATAATTCATCCAAAATCGATAGGCTTCTGGTCCGAGATATGAAGAATGCAGATGCAAAATTTGGAGCAGATTCAACCTCGCTTTCGTGAGATACCGCGTGCATCTAACAGACAAATACCTATCAACATACTTACCGATCAAGATCGATAAGTAATGAATGTATGTGCGACCGCAACCCGTACAGACTTGAAAAATGCCAAAGTTTGGTAATAAAAAACGACCCTGAATTATTGATATTTCTTGAACATTGTAATATGAAGTCGGGCAATATTGAAAATCGATTGTGACTAGCTCTGAATGATTGAAGCAGACCATGTAACAATTGCACTTTTCCTATGCTATTTCATTTGTTAGGATGGATTGTCTGATTGCTCTGAAAGAAAATTAGAAGAAATAATTTACAAAGATATCGGCTGAAATAATTATCGTTAAAAACTAATATGTAGGAATCCCAACAATATGTTTGAAAACCCGCTAATCTGAATCGTACATCACAACGTTTATCTGGTCAGCTATTTTCTTAACCAGTCAGGGAATGGTAACTGAAGATCTAAAGGCCGCGATACAATTTTTATTCAGATGTTTTGTACCATTCGCCTTTTTTCCAGTGTGAATATTCTAATATCTTTTAGCTGAGCATTTCTTTTCTTAGTTACAGGTAAAATAGCGAGTGTTTTGGCCTAATCATATAAAACGTAAATAGTCGTATCGGCTGACAGGTGTTTAGTTACGAAGTATGCTAATGATTCATATTGAACATCACGATCACTGAATTTCATAGAAGTGGTTTAGCATTGCGAGCAATGGCAAAATATTTATGCCTATGCAGGTAAAAGTGTGTTTGTGCTTCACTGAAAACAGAAAGAAGCAAGACGCAGTACATTTACACAATAGGCCTACTCATGACTGAGATACTTAGCAATCAAATTTACTTTCATGCACCCTCACCAACAATGTACGCTCAGATATTAGTCTCTGCCAAGTAAGCAACTGTATATACCAGTGTTTCTCAACCTATTTTGGCCGCGGACTATTTACAAGGTAAAACGATTAATAGTGGACTCGAGACACGGATATCGCATAGCGGTTGATGCAATGAGACTTGGAAACTTCTCCCAAAACAAGGCCACGCGCATTCACTCCGAACTATAGGAATTTGATATCTTGAGCCTCGGTTTTAGAGAAACGCTGGTATATATATATAAACTTTTAAAGCATACCTGCATTCAAATTCTGACATTCCAAAATATCCAGAACGACATTGGTCACATTTATCTCCTCTCACTCCGTATTTGCAGGAACATATTCCGCTCTCATTGCAATGTTCGCCATGTGATCCTGTACGCACACGTACGAATGACTTCATTTTTTTAATATTTTTATTTTGTCTAATTACTGGTAACGAAACATTCAAATTATTGCTTGCCGAAAAATGAGCCGAAGTTAAAAATGATCGTTTTTTTCAATAAAAAAAATACTTGCCCACGGCATGACAGCCGCACTCCAGACATTCCTCTATCGGCGACTTCCTGTAGTGATTTGGTAGACATACTTCGCAATGTGGACCAGTAGTATTTCCCTCGCAATGAACGCACCGTCCTCCATGGCCAGTGTTCTCATACAGTTCAGAGTCAAATAAACAGTTTTTTGAGAAGCCAGTGCAATCGCATTCTTAAAGTTTTTTTGTAAAAACAATGATGGTATATATACATATTTTAAATTTGCTGATAGATTAATTTGATATGTTATATTTTCTGGTGATGAAGCAAAAAGTAAATTCGAATCTTGAGGCTATACATAACGAATAAAAAATTTTGCGATATTTTCCAACACAAACTTTATCAAATTTCTGACTGAAATATTAATAAAGTCGTACTTTGGCATTCGTTTGCATTGAACTCAGATGCCCTTTGCCAGGGTGCATCATTGTAAAGATTGGCGCACGTTTCACAATCATCTCCTTGAGTATTGTGCTCACAAATACAAACAAAAATTCCCTCGTCGTTTTCTCGACATTCCGATGCATGCCCGTTGCATTTACAACTGTTAAAACGAAATTCGATATAACAAATTTTGATCATATATTTTTATGTAGCATTTATTCCTAATTAGGCTTGAAAAAATAGCAAACTTGTCCGAGGGATGTTTAATTCTAGAGGTGTCATTAAGCTCATTTCAACGCGATGACTGATATGAAATTGCGTTTGTAAACACGATTCGACACTATACTGAAACTACACACGATGATTGAATAAACCTACACGAACTCTGTAATTAAAGATGAAATGTGTTTTTATGAAACGATTTGTAAGCATGTTGTATGCACAATATCCAATTTACATATACCCAAAGAATGGAAAAAAGAAAATAACTATAAAGACTCCGTTAGGCATTCCTATCCTTCTCAAGAGATAGTCAAATAATCAATCACGTAGAAAATTATCAAATTACCTTCCTCCAATAGAGATATCGGATATAGCGTAGTAATACGACTTCAAAGCCTCTTCTTCGCCAAATACTTCATCTCCGAATGTATCCATGTTGTTTAATGAAATACGCACTGCAGAAGCCGTTATCCAATCCTATAACAGATATATATATATATGTTATTGGGCTACTTTAATTTTGTTTGTGCGAGAATCACTGGTCACCTCTATGCATCTAGTCTAGGATATTGCTAAAATACGGAAACGTCAGAAAATTCTACTATTATTAAATCCAAGTATTTTTTATATTTGCACCTGGAGTTCCTTTCGCTGATATAATGTCCAGCTTCCAAGTCGACCCCGTAAGGGACTGAATGAAACAGTTCCACCAGTCAGTGGTGATATGTCGCTTTCACTCTCAGAACAACCGACCTCATTGTCTGATAAAAACGTCTGTTTATTCAAAAAATACATTGAATTGATTTTATGAACTAACAAAATAATTTACATAATCAAAGTACAAAATGACGCTTCGAGCTATCCAGTTATTTTATGTCGAATCCTCTGCTCTGCATCTTTATAAATCTGCAAAGTTGAAATCTGCTGACGAAGACAAGTAGGGTTATTTCCTCGGTATATATGGTAAAATGGGTGAAGGCCCTTCAAATGATGCTTTAACTTCTGTTTGAATCTCTAAACAAAATATTGCACCTTAGTTTCAATTCCGTATGTACCACGGCAGAAGAACGAATAATACTGATACGGTTCCCATTCGCATGTGGTGCATGCCTTCTTATACAAAGCAAAGCTTTCTGGTCTTGGTGATTTAAATTTGAGTCTAACAGTAACTATCTCGTAGGTTTTGTCTAAATATAAAAAAAAAATTATCTTTTAATTGACGCAATAATAAAGTACAATAAATTTTGTAAAGGGTAAATACTAAAATTCTCATAATTTTATAAGTTACACAAGAATAACATCAGAAATGATTTGAAAAAATAGTTTGAAAGTTATATACAGTATTATATTGTTTTCATTGGAAGTGGAAAACTGCCCATTATTGTAGGCAAATTTTTTCGAAGGCCTTCGAACAAACAATAGCTTCCATTAACTACCGTGTATTTCAGATTTTCTTTGATTAAAAATGAAATTATTCATTTTTAATTATAACATTTCTGTTTTCTATTAGCAGATTACTCAAACTCTATCAAGAAAGACAATCATGACTAAAGGCAATAAACATGAGTGAACTCAACGTAAATCAAACGTGAGGTTAACTGTAGTTTGTGGTCCCATGTCTTGCTCGAAAATACTTTGTGATTGCCACCATCTTGGCCTAAAGTTATCGTGAGCATCCGTCAAAAACTGCGTGCTGTGTTGCAAATTTTTTCTGTCATCATTATCACATATCTGGCAGGTTTTGACAGCACCGAACGAAGTGGCTATTTGACAATATTGCTCTTTTCGCATGCCTCCGCAAGTGTTTGTCGCCACTACCTTCTTGTCGTAGGCAGCGGATACGTAAGGCGTAAGACATTGTTTTGCTACACTTGTTCCGCCGTCGTAACAGTTACTTGAACAGCATACAAAATTTCTGGTAACAATCGTGAAATAGACTATCCTGAGAATTATCATATTGCCCCAGATTACAGACTGCGTAAACAAAATTATAAGTTGTAAAAATTCACGAGTTTTCGTTCAATAATGATGACTTATATTTTCTCCTCAAATTGTCAATTTGGAGATCAAAATAACAAACCTGCGAGCAAATAGTTCGCCATCATCAATTTCTAGACTCAACTGTTATTTATTACTGACTGATGACAGTGATGCTTCTCATTTTGGGGTATTATATCGAACAAAACTGATGGCGGTTGGCAATACGTGAAACAAGTGCGAGTCTCTTTGAAAAAACATGCCATGGTATTAAAGTTTCACTTACCCCTTTCTTGAATAACTTCATCTGAACATTGATTTTAATCACAACGGCTCTTGCCAATGATACCCCAATTTGTGGTTTAATATATACGGCTTATTCTAAAAATATTTTTATTATATTTATCTTGATTCCACCTCTCACCCTACGAATTGGAATTATAAATACCAATCGCTCAAATGTATTATTCGTTGTTCGGAAAACCCAGAACGACGCATCGAAATTATAAATACCAATCGCCCAAATGTATTGCTCGTTGCGTGGAAAACCCAGAACGGCGTGGCCTCAATTATTTCAGAGTAGCCTACTTCAAAAGAAATTTGTGTTTCTAAACAGTTGGGTGTTTTTTAATTCCCGTCCTTTCTTTACTACCACTGAATATAATATAAAAGATGTGTAAATTTGCATGATAAGTTGTGTGGAACATTCGTGTAATTTCCATTGGGAATTTAGAACAACGTTGCTGTATGTAAAATGTAGTAGGTCGCGGGAAGTCATCATCATCACGGGCATTTAGCATAAAAGTGAATTTTTTCTTTACTGATCCTGAGATTCGAAATTCGTATTTGGTTAGCTAAAATAATATAGTCATACCATGCCATATGCATATACTACCAATTTAATATACAATATACAATTTTAGCAAATTGATATACATATACAGCCATTTGAGTGATGCAAAAACACGTGGTCATTCGACAGGGAATGGCGTACAGCTCCGTAGGTACCGGTAGCGGCAAAGGTAAGGACTGCTTTTCTCTGAAAAACGTGTCCATATATTTGAACATTGCTCTCTTGTCACTAAATGACGCTAATATCACAATGATTTATTAGATATACTTTACACTTATTGTAAGAGAATTCCATCAAAAGCCATTTCAACGCACTAATTATATCAATATGACTTCCAAACTTGTGAGTTGTAGGTGCAACCGCATCGATACATAATATACAGGAAGTGCATGGATATGAAATGGATTGACGGTGTTTTAACATCACTTAAATGGCTGTATATGTAAATCAGTTGGCTAAAATTGTATATTAAATTGGTAGTATATGCATATGCCATATGGCATTGTATGACATCGCTTAAATGCATCCATAAACACATAGAGTTGACTATACATACACATGACATTGGTTGATTGTCTACATTATTTAAGAGGCTGTATAAGTAAGTATATAGCGTAGTTCATATGAGCTCATTGCATTGGCTGTATATGTACATTACTCGATTGGCCGTATATGTATATTAATATGTCTTTATGTGTATAATGAGTGACTATACACACATATGATATTGGCAGTGTACATTACTTGAATGGCAGTATATGCATATCTAATTGAGTGTATATACATGTGACGTTGGCTGGGTATGTACATCACCAAAATGGCTGTATTTGTATATCAATTGGCTAAAATTGGGTGCATATACATATAGCATTGGCTGTGTATGTACATCACCAAAATATCTGTATTTGTATATCAATTGACTGTATATGCATATGACATTGGCTGACATTGGTCCGACCCGCTTGGTATATTAATCATATCATATCATTAATATCATCACCCGTCGACGATCTTCTGTGAAACAATGTGGGAATGTTTTGATTCCCATCTGACGGCAGGTTGAAAAATATTTGATGTGTATGACTCGGCCATCAATATTATCGAGACTTCATCTCAGCTCCTGGATCACCAATGATGCCATTTTACTTTCACTCTTTTCTCCTTTCCATCGGCGCAACTTTTATAACACTAAAAACATCCTATTCCCAACGAGGTCTGGGCCGCCAACGCCATTGTGACATAACAATGGCCATTTCGACACGGCGTATTGGTATCTAAGATTACCCCGCAATTTTTACTGTGGTTCAACGTTTCTTTTCTCTATACACTCTTTGTAATAGACCTTAGTCATTCAGCACCCACCCTACGCGCCAAAAATAAAAGTGGCATAAACAAAACAATTTCAACATTGGCTCTCATGGGGAATGTGATCACCAGGGCCGGAATTTGCATTTTTTATAATTTTCTAGTTATCTTTAATTGTAGACGTGTGCAGATTTGAGGATAGAATATTTTTTATATACTTTTTGATATTTTTATCATGATAAACATGGTCAAGATTTTTGATAATCGTTCATTGAAATTATAATGGGCGTGGTGTTTCCGCTGGCGTCTTTCTCACTATACCTTGACGTTCTGCCAACGCGTTGTGGTCTGTGAAATATGCGCTCTAACTGCTCGAGTTTCTTATTATGTGATAACAGAATACCGGGACCACAACATACCGGTACCGTGTTTGGCGTTAGAGGGAAGACCTATTTTATTTGGTAATGTTTAGCCGGAATAACGGTCTGTTCACGTATTCAGTCGGGTTCACTTTTCCCCAATGGCTTTGCGCATATTCTACCGCACCGGTACAGCGAGCGACTTTTCTCTTAAGCCTAAGGCATGCTGACATGTTTTTTAACCTAGTTAGGATACCGATACTGAGGAGTCTTTTTTGTGCAATATGTTATCAAAAAAGGACTTTGTCTGATGACTATAGGCTTTACCTGCTTATCTGAACATGACTTCCACATAGCCACATATCCCTCAGTTGGTAACTGAAAAACAGCAACAGAAGTGTCACTAATATATTTAATGAATGAATCAATAGAGTACTGTTTGTTGCAATTTATTCTGCTTGAACCAATGGCGCAACCAGAGGTTCTTTCGATGGTTGATACTCTCTTGAGAAAGCGTGTCCGTCAAATTTAACCTATGGTCAACAGTAGAACAACGAATTCATATTCTATCAACTGATGACGGTTAAATTTTCTATAAATTTGCACAAAATCAGATTCCGTTTGCTAAGTCAGGCTGCGCTCTTAGTTCAAAAATTTGGGGTTCGAAAAGGGCTTGCGGAATAGCGCAGGGGTTCAGTGAGTCAAAAAGGTTAAGAACCACTGGTCTAACTACTGGTAACGACTCATTCAAATTATTGCTGGCCGTTATGAAGAAAAGTAAGTCGAGGACAAAAATTAACGTCTTATTAAAAAAATACTTGCCCATGGCGTTACAGCCGCACTCAAGTCATTCCTCCATCGGCGACTTCCTTTTTTAATTTGGCAGACATACTTTGCAATGTGGCCTTGTAGTAATTGCCTCACACTGAACGCACACGCCCTCTGTGGCCAGTGTTCCACCGAACAGTGGTGATATGTCGCTTTCAGTCTCAAACAACCGACCTCATTGTATGATAAAATATACGCACACCTATCAAAATACCTCTCAGAACCCCTTTTTCTGTTTATAGCGTAAACTACAGTTTTGCGCATTTAACACTTTACCTTACTGGCTTGCTATAAGCACGTTTTGATCTTCAGGAAAGCCTTGATGAACTTTCAATACTGGAGCAAGCAAGCATGGATATTGACTCGGCGGATTATAACACGATTCTTTCATGATATATGGTAAAATGGGTGTGGTAATAATGTCTTAATTATATGTTAAGTTCTACACCCAAGCTATTATAGAATAAGGGTTCAACTGAATACGTTTACACTTCTTTATTACACCAGCATAACACACAACATAAGATGTTTACAGCAACAGAACATACTAGCGAGTGACGCAACTGCGACACGTTATCACAACACAGATAGCACAATCAATTATTAGGGACGTTACTCGACAAGGCATTATTAGCCATCATCAACATCCCTCTTTGTTTTAAGATAAATTTTATAAATTATTTTCAAATTCAGAATAGGAAATATCCACCTTTACCTATTACGCAATTCATGACCACTACAATTAAGACACATAAATGAGCAATAATATTTAACACTCAAAATCAAGTTATAGTCACTACTGAGTCACATAGTCTTTCATCCAAATAGGAGGTTTACGATTTCGACGAGGTCTGGTTGGAACATCATTCGAAATCAGAGGTCGAGAATTGTCATTGGCAACCGGAAGGTTGTTCGGCTTATAGTCAGACAAGAATGGAATACTTGGTTCATATTTTTCGATATTACAACTTTCATCAGGACGGATATGAACACGATTTCGTCTGTATGTAACACCATTCTTCGATTTGACAATGTAAGATCGTGTAGCAATTCGTTTCACAATAGTTCCTCTATTCCATCCCTTCCGTTCTGGATGTTGAAAATATACAGCTTCGCCCAACTCAAGTTCTCGCATTGGTCTTGTAGATTTGTCATAACTCTTCTTAACGCTGTGCTTTCGGCGCAGGCGTTTCGAGTCATAATTTTCGTTTGGTTTCATAATTGTCGGTATAATCGATCTGGTTGATCGACAAAATAGCATCTTTGACGGACTGCTGTTCAAATCTTGACGCGGCGTATTTCTTATTTCTAGAAGAGCTAGAAATTGATCTTCATTCGTGTTTGCAGTCCTTTTCAGCATATTCTTGAAAATTTTCACGGACGATTCAGCTTTTCCATTCGCTTGTTGATGTCCAGGTGAAGAGGTAACATGCTGAATTCTCCAATCTCTCATGAATTTCTCGAATTCCGACGAGTTGAGATTTCAGATTTCACAATCTGAGATTAACATCTTTGGGATACCATGTCGAGCAAAATGGCGTTTCAGACATATGATGATTTGATTCGTAGTTGTCGTCGTCATCACATCAACTTCGAAGAAACTTGAAAAATAATCAACCGTGATTAGATAATTTTTCCCTTTATACTCACATAAATCAATTCCAACTTTTTCCCAAGGAACACTTCCTTCGTTGTGTTGCAATAATGGTTCTTTCTGATTATTTGGTTTCGTCTGCTGACAAGAAAAACAATTGTCAGCAATTTGCTCAATCTCTTTGGACATACCAATCCAAAAAAAGTTTCACGAGCACGGCGCATCATACTTGCATAACCTAAATGAGAAAAATGAAGTTGTTGCTTTATTTCGTTACGCATAGATTTTGGGATCCATATCCGTTCACCCTTCAAAATAATATCATCTTGATAACTCAATGTATCTCTTATTGAAAAATATGGTTTTACACAGTCAGGTAAGTCATGCTTATGCTCGGGCCATTCATGTTTTATATATCTCAGCAACTTCATCGATTCATCATCTTTCATCATAGCTTGCTTTACATCTTCAATTATTTCATCTGGAATTTGTTCTAAAGCGTCTACTTTCAAAATATGTGGAAAATGTTTGGAATTTTCGATAAAATTTCTGCTGAGGGTATCAGCAATTAATAAGGATTTTCCAGGCATATATTTGGATTGGATATTATATCTGTTCAATCGCATCATAAGAGTTTGTAAACGTCTGGGCGCTTGACTTAATGGTTTGCTCAAAATTGTTTCAAGAGGTTTATGATCGTTGTGAATTATAACTTTGCGACCATAGGTATATTGATTAAATCGTTCAAGTCCAAATACAACAGATAAAGTTTTTTTTTCAATCTGAGCCCAATTTCTTTCAGATTTTGACAAACCACGGGATGCATATTCGATAGGCTTCTCATTCTGCATTAAAACAGCACCAAGACCATCTTTGCTGCTATCAACTTGTAGAACTAGGTCAAGGTTAGGGTCGTAATAAGCTAATACGGGCGATTTCGTAATTTTACGTTTGACCAATTGAAAAGCTTTCTCACACTTTTCGTCCCATAGCCATTTAACATTCTTTCTAGTGAGATTTCGAATTGGCTCTAGATCACTGGCAAGATTAGGCAAAAATCTGGATAAATATTGAATCATGCCACAAAATCGTTTCACATCACTGACATCTTTTAACGATGACATTTTCACTATGGCCTCTGTCTTAGCAGGATCTGGCTCTATCCCACTTGTTGTAATCTTATGGCCCATAAAAGTTATTTCTTCTTTCCTAATTCTTGCTTTGGTATCATTTAATTTAATGTTTTTAGTTCGGCACCTGATTTGGAGATTTCTTGTGTTCTCTCTCAAATCCGCTTCCGCTTCAGATTTCGTGTCTCCACATCCAATTACTATGATGTCATCTGCAATCGTTATAACACCTTTCAATCTGAACAATGCTTCATTTAAACGTTTTTGAAATATTTCGCTGCTCACATTCAAACCAAATGGGAGTCTATCCCATCTGTAACGAGAAAAAGGTGTGATCATTGTCGTTAACTTACTCGATTCTTCATCTAATATCACGTGCCAATATGCTTCTTTTACATCAAACTTGGTAAACACTTTTGCATTGCGTAGCTTATGCAATACATCATCAAGAACAGGTAATCTGTAGTGTTCTCGTTTCAACGCGGCATTTAAAGGTTGAGGGTCTATACATATTCGAAGCTTTTTGTTAGGTTTCTCAGTCACAGCCATTTGACTAACCCAATCGGTGGGTTCATCCACCGGTATTAAGATTCCCCTTTTCACCAGGTTATCTAATTCTGATTTAACTCTATCTTGGAGAGCTATTGGGATTTTTCTACAAGGTAAAACTCTAGGTTGAAAATCGGGATCAACTTTTAATTTCGCTATTCCCAAGTTTCCCAAAGTTTGCGGTAGGTCAACATTTGCAATAAATTTATCGCTGTTTATTGTAATCAAATCCATTTCTTGTATTGTCATTAACCCCAAAAGACAGTTGAAATTATTCTTGACAACAGTAAATCTTACCTCTGCGACTTCATCATTTCGAGGATTTTTTACCTTTAAAATTGCCTCACCAAGTGGTTTCATTTTCGTTTTATTCCACATCACAAGATTGTCTGTAGTTGGTCTAATTTGGTCTTTCCGCACATATTTCTCGCATATCGTGTTGACATCTGCAGCACTATCAATTTGAAATCTGACTTCATAATTGTTGACTTCCATCAGAGCAGTAATTCTTGAACTGTTGACGTTATTTATATTCTGGACGCGCTGATGACCTTCTTCAAGCGTTTCTTCATTTTGGTCATGTTTCTTCATTTGTCGAACATAGCTTGCGTTTCTACACTTCACTCGGAAATGATTTCTACCATTGCACGAATGACAAGTTTTTCCATAGGCAGGACAAAAGGATATCCCGAACTTGTGTCTGCGTCCACAAAATTTGCATTCTTGGTATGCATTTGGAATACGCTTGTTTTTCGAAGCTCTGTTCGTATTTCGGTATTGTCTATTTTTAGTCAACAAAATTCGTTGCTCGCTTTCTGAAGATGCACGGATCTCCGTCGCTTGCTTTTCTGACATTTCATATGTTTGGCAAATTCTTATGGCTTTTGACATATTGAGATCAGTCTCCCGCAGCAGAATTTCTTGTAATTTACCGCTTACTGAAAATACGATTTTATCTCTGATCATTCGGTCTTTGTTTTCGAAATAACAGGAATTGGCTTTACTACGGAGTTCAACGAGAAATGTATCAAAATTGTCTTTGTACTGTATATTGAAAAAGCGAAAAGTCTCCATCACCTCATTCTTCCGAGGATTACAGTGTTCAGCCATTTTCTGTAGTAGAACTTTAGGGTCATTTTCGTCCTCTGTATCACTGTATATAAAGTGTTCGGCAGCTTCAATCATTTGAGCACCTGCGCAATATAAGATTATTGCCTTCTGTTCTTCCTTTGACTTGCTAGTAGAACCGCTGGCAAGCATGAAAATATCAATCTGTCTCTTCCATTTTTTAAATGTTTCTGATAAATTTTCATCATGCAGATCAAGAGTCGACGGTAAGCGAATTTCAGATACCGCTGCCACCATGTTAATAATGTCTTGGTTATATGTTAAGTTCTACACCCAAGCTATTATAGAATAAGGGTTCAACTGAATACGCTTACACTTCTTTATTACACCAGCATAACACACAACATAAGATGTTTACAGCAACAGAACATACTAGCGAGTGACGCAACTGCGACACGTTATCACAACACAGATAGCACAATCAATTATTAGGGACGTTACTCGACAAGGCATTATTAGCCATCATCAACAGGGTGGGTGAGGTACCCCACACGATGCTTCAACTTATCTTTGAATCATCTGAACAAAATATTGCATCTTTGTTTCAATTCCGTAAGTACCACCACAAAACGACGAATAATGCTGATATGGTTCCCATTCGCACGTGGTGCATATGCCTTCGTATATATTCATATATGGTACAACAGTAACTATGTCGTAGGTCTTGTCTGAATAGAAAACGATTTTCTTAGATTTCATTTTATTTTATGGTGAATCGTATTTTATTTTATGAAACATGTGAGTTTTCCAATAAAACCGCAAAGTTTGCTAATGTACACTTTATTATTCAAGATGGCCCTGAAACAAAATATGAAAGATGTGACTTTTGCACTTCTACACTTGAAAATTGATAAATTTTTGGTGAAGTGTGTGTGCTTTTTGAGCAATGTTATTTATGAATAATCAACAAACACAATCATTAATAAAGGCAATAAACATGAGTGAACTCACGTAAATCAAGCCTGAGGTTAACTGTAGTTTGAGTATACATGTCTTGCTCGTTAAGACCATGTGATTGCTACCATGTTGGCCTGAAGGTATTGTGAGCATCCGTCAAAAACTGCCTGCTGTGTTGCAAGCTTTTCCCGCCCTCATTATCACATACCTGGCAGGTTTTGTAGCATATAACGAAGTGGCTGTTTGACAATATTGCTTCTTTCGCATGCTTTCGCAAGTATTTGTCGCCTCTACTTTCTTGCCGTATGCAACTGATTTGTAAGGCGTACGACATTGTTTTATTATACTTGATTCGCCGTTGTAACAGTTAGTTGAACAGCATACAAAATTTCTGGTAACATTTGTGAAATAGACTATCTTGGGAATCATCATATTGCCTCTGATTACAGACTGCGTAAACAAAATAATAAGTTGTACCAATTCATTGTTACAATGTTTCATTCATTGTTTTTGTTCAATAATGATGACTTCTTCTGTAATTAATCAATTTGGAGATCAAAATAACAAACCTGCGAGCAAATGGTTTGCCACCTTCAATTTCCAAACTCAATGTTATTTATTACTGACTGATGACAGAAGTTTTTTCTCATTTCGGGTTATTATATCTAATAAAACTGACGGCAAGTTCGAGGCTCTTCGAAAAATCAAGCCTTAATTTGGAGTTTTCATTTACTTACTAACTTAATCTGAACAACGATGTTAATCATTTCATCTTCAGTTTGTGGTTCATTTCAATCTGCATATTTAAAAAAAATTGTTTTGTATTTTCTCGTTTCGACCTTCTACCCAATTTGGAATTATAAACACTTCGCGACTTAAAATCTATGAAGCGTCGCGTGGAAAACCATGAAACACGTGGCGTCAATTTTCCGAGTACGACATCGGAGAAAACTGGTGATGCAAAAAGCAATTTTTTTGAATTCTTGTTTTCCTTATTATCATCCGGAAATAAGCTGAAAATATTCGTTTGTGTGTTTGCTGTTTTATGGAACATATGAAAATTTCTATTTACGTGTATCACTTCAGAACAACTATTATGTATGTATAATTTATTATTAGTATTCTGCTTTTGGTGCAAAATTCATTACTCTTACCGAAAATATAACCCCTGGGAATATCGCCTACCTGTTAACTTGAAACATCAACATCAAACCGACTTGAATTTTACGAATAGTTTATGAAGCTCTAGGTAGAGTCAAAAGAATTGTATTGAGAATGAAATTAGAGAAAATAGGTCAAAAATTGCTACAATAAATGCAATTCGTATGAACTATGGTTTTATAGGGTGAAACTCTCCTATATATTCTTCGGAGTTCAAATATACTGATTTGCAGGATGTTGCAGATAATATGATAATACAAACAAACATGTTTAACACCTCGTCTTTTTATCTGTATAACAAAAATCACTTTCTTTATTCTTACTTTTTCAAATATTACAAGAAGATTACGCAATGAAAGTAGCTGAGTGAATCAAAAACAATGTGTATAGTTGCAGCTGTAAATCTTTGAGACTCGAGATATCTGTTTATGCCAGAACAATATAATACATGACTCTCGCAGAGGCTCGGGATTTTATTTTAAAGAACGATTCTTTGCTCGTCTCCATCTTCTGCCAGGCGTACTGCTCGATGATGTTGTTTTTGAATAAAGATTTTTCTGTAACATTACGTATATTTTATTATATATTGAAATGTGAACAATAAATTTGAAGCAGAAGACATCGGCTTCACATCATGAGTTCAGTGATAATTTGTCGGCATATTATTTGTACCAATGAAAACAGGGTCATGGGTCAAACTATCGCCGACCCCATTCTCGATGAAATTTCACTCAGACACAAATATATCTTATCCCATTCAACAGGCAAACATTTTTCATACTCAAGAGAAAGTTCCTAAGTTGAATTACTGTATATAACATTTAATTTCATTAATTGAGTTTTTTTGAGTATATTTCAGCTTTTTGAACTTTTTGTTTTCAGTAATAAACAGCGTCAACAAATTGGTATTTTGATGTATATTGTTTATATTCTTTTGCAAATTAATATTAAGTAATGTCAATCCCATTTTAGCGGATGTAGAATGGTTATTGTAGATTATAATGTTATTCAAACCCTTTGTGGTATCGGTATGTTGAATACACTGAAACGAGGTTATTTTGGTCTGTTTCCTCGATGGTGATATATCCTTGACAAGCTTTTATTCAGTGCCGCTATGTGTCGAGAATACTGATAACGCATTTTCGGGCAACATATTTGACAAGGCATTATTGTGTGCTTAACTGACCTCTGAAAAAGGTCATAATGCCTTTTTAGATATATTCAATATTCTTACCCTCTGTACACGTAGACAAGAACCAAAATGCAGATCAAAAGTAAAATGAGAAAGACCGGGACAAGTACTTTTACCAAGGTCATATTCTGTGCCGATGCTGCATTAGACAACCCTGAAATAAAAAGTACAAGAATATTTGAAAAAAACGTGAACAACATTATGTGAACTTTTTGTGGAAATAAATAATTTTGACAAAACTCTTTTACTGGGGAAATTTTTAAAGGGCAATGCTGTGATTTCTTGCGTTCTAATGAACGTTTTGCAATACATGGCCCCAGATATATAACCTCTATACTTTACCATTGCCAAATTTTTTATGATTGTTTTGAAAGTGTTTTCGATAGTTAGCGTTTTCAAAACTGCATGTTTATACAATTTTGATTTAAAATCTTCCGATAGCTAATTTGGGCGTAGTCTGTATGGCAAGTTTGGCTATTGCAACTAAAACGCCTCGGAAGACGAAGAAAAAACACGGAAACCACCAATATAGACAGCAATATCTACTAAGGTCTGTCTCAGTTTAAAAATGTCTAAGCGACTGCAATAATTCCGAGTTTTGCATGGTTATCGGTAATTGGTTATTACTAATCGGCCATTGTTAGGGAAATAAACAAGTAGTTTGATTCTCGGGGAAACATATACTTATAAACTGGGAGATAGATTTAGAAAGTTCATCAATCTTTATCAGGCCAATAAACAGGATACGTTTATTTTAAAAAAAAGCATTAGGGTTTGTATAGGGCTCTGTTCGGATCAAAATACGCGTATATATTTGTTTACATTTCATGACGTAGACATATTATTTATGAAACATATTCACTTGCTACCTTGCTATACGGAATGCATTGTATGCAGTGCAGTGCTTTGAGAATAGACTTCTGTACAGTTAAAATTTTCAATTTATCGTAAATAGTTTACAAACTATTCTAATCTTACATGAACATTCTGGTATCGCACAATACTCCCACCTAGTGTTGGGGTCAGTCGTGTAGCACCATGGTCCGCCGGGTTCCCCATCGGGATTGCGACAATGATTGTTGTCCAGTCCAGCTAACGCATATGTACAGGTTGTTCTGTAAAAATAATCAGTAAATACTTTTCCATCTTAGATTCACGTGTGTTCATGTTGATGTTTAAAAAATATGATCTAGTAATCAGCACAAATCATATTTTCAACTTGCAAATTCTTGAACTATATTTAACATACCTTGTATGAGCATGTGGTGTTTGCGAATCCCATCGCTGGCATATTCTTCCAGTTTTTGTGATTGATATTTGTCCACGATAACTCGCACCTTTGTCCTCCGTGGCAAAGCATGTTTCAACTGTTTGAGAGGATTAGTTCGTCAATTACTGATAATATTTAAACTTTGGTAAAGATGATTTGTTCGTTTTTTTCTGTTTATTATTGCAGCGCATTTTACAGAATGTAGCAATCGTTGTGCTTCGAATATAAAATGCAGTAAAGAGTTTATTTATGATTCCTTCTCAATATATGTATGTCTAATTTTCCCCTTTGAACGTTATATATATATATATATTGATATATAGTGGGTTTCCGTTTTGGGAGTTCTGTGGAACATAACTACACGCTTTCATCAATAAAACGAGACAAAAAACTTCCTGGCATATAGGCTACATTTTTATGAACTCACATTCACACTTCGGTATTGGACAATATTCCCAACGTTTATCCGAGTCTGTTGTGTAACACCAAGGTCCCAATGGTTCTGCATCAGGATTTCTGCAGAAGTTGTTTACTAATCCAGAATGAGGATAGATTTCTGCAGTTCTGTAAAGTAAGTATTGTAAATTATATCAAGCGTGGTAAAACGGACAATAGAAACAGGGGATATTGAATATTGTAACCAATTTATCATTTATGTTTTGTTGTACTTGCCTAGAATGACTGTGTGGTGCTTGTGCGTCCCATCTCTGGCAATTTCTCCCAGTGTTGGAAACAGAGACAAGTCCCCTATAACTTTGACCAAGATCTTCTGCTGTGAAACATTCCACTGCTGTGTTCAAAGCTAGAAAAGAGAACAAAATGAAATAAAAATATAACGTGTTCCGCAACTTTTCAAAATGTCCGAATTTGACTATTTTCTAAATTTAAAACAACGTAAAAATCATTCAGTAGTACACTTCTACGTTGGTATATTACATTTCCTATCTTTTGTTTCAAATTATTAGTTTACCTCTTTCTTCGTATGGCGCTGTTGTGGCAGGTTCCGTCGTACTTGCTGTTGTTGTTGGTTTGGGAGTTGGTGTAGTTGACGCAGCTGCGATTAAATATAAAACAAAATTTACTTTTGGATATTTTTTGTCAACTATTTGTGCTTAAACGTCACATGTGAAAGGTTGCAGTTCAACAGGCAAAAATCTTTCATTTTATCGTACTCACGATAGCACATTGGTATTTCACAATATTCCCATCTCTTCTCTGGATCCGTTGTGTAGCACCATGGTCCGTTTGGTTCATTATCGGGATTGCGGCAGTAATTGTTTATCAATCCAGATTCGGGGTGATTGCATACGGTTCTGAAATATTTACAACAATCCTAACATCAGGAGGACCTATATAAAAAACTACTATATGCTAACAACTTTTCCGAGTGTTCGTTTTAAAATATATTTATGGTCTGAAATGCTATTTCAACCAAAACGCTGTTCGTAATAAAAGTGATATTAGCATTCGAAGAACCTAACTACAGAATAGCCCCCAAAAACAGAACACGTAGATTTCTCAATTACTTGTTCAAAATTGCAGAAAATTTATTAAATTCTTGGATTTCTATTTGTGTATGATTAAACCCAAAAGTTTCTGCATTCTAGAACGTTTTGCACATAAGTTATGCTTTCCTTAAAATATGTTTCAAATTTGTAACTGTAAACTTCTTTTTGTATCACCTTGCATATATATTTCAAGTAACGACAAAAAATGAAGATATTCAAGAAATTTAAAAATGACTTAAAAATTGAACAATATTAGAGCTGATATTATTAGTAAATTTTACCTAGTGTGAGCGTGTGGGGCCTGCAAATCCCATTGTTGACAAGTCCGCCCACTCTCTGAAACCGCTAGGATTCCACGATAACTTCTCCCAAGATCATCCGGTGTATAACATGTATCATCTGTGTTCAGTAAAAATTGAATGTATTTTGATAAAAAATGAAGCTTGATATACACGCTTTCATAAGATAATGAGCATAAATGAGCATACATCCAATATGGATATAGTTCTAGTCCAACATGATCATATGCGTACAAAGAAAAAAAATGGACAGGGCACAGATTGATGATACTATTGAAACACCTGTGGAGAGTCAAACTCTGTGCTCAAAAACTGAAAGAAAATATTTGTGAGCTGTGTGTGGCCATCGTTCACCAAAGTCCATCGATAAATGATGAAATTTTTTCATATTTGATACATACTTTGAAGTCTAACAATAATGTCAACATTCTAATTTAGCAAAACTTGGATTAGATTCTTTATAAAATATCAATAGTCGACAAAGAATCGACTTATCAAGTCTTTTCAATTTAAAACTTGCAGGTGAAAGTTCCTTGAATTTCAGGAAATAAAACTAATTTGACAGTGATTATTTTCAAATTTCAATTCAAGTTGTCCACGTTTGGCATAATATTGCAAAAAATAATCAAAATTACCGTTCCAAAGCGGGAGAGATGTTGGAATGACAGTTTCATTTGTATTGGAATTTGTCTCATCTGAAACAGAACATGAAAGAGTGAGGTAATAGAATATTATATTCATTTCCGAAGTAACTGAAAGCCATATTTAGTTTCTGACTTATTTTCAATGAGGATCAGGTTGAGTAATTTATACAGTAAAAAACTATACAATGCATAACATTATTGTTGAGTACTAACTGCATTTGGGTATGGGACAGTACTCCCACCGCGACCCTTCATCTGTAGTGTAACACCAGGGTCCGAAATCTTCTGCATCCGGATTTCTGCAGTAATTTTCTATCAGATCAGAATGTTGATAAGTGCAATTGGTTCTGTAACAAATATGAGATTGTAAAAAAAATTTTCCTCATATTAAGATTAGTTTACGGAATGTTTGATACATGTACCTAGTCCTAGGTGAATATATTGGACCATATTGTTCCAAAACCACCTACTCGCAACTAAAAACAAGTAATATGAAGTCACCTATTGCATGACATTGTATTAAAATATTAACCTTCTTCACCTATTTTTTTCAATTTAAATTACTTAAAACAAAATATAACTGCGTGATATAGTACGATATGGATTAGAAATAGGTGACAAATAACAGCACACTGTTACATCGCAAAGTACAGACTTCGCACATTGACAATAGTTCGTGGTTGACTTAGAGCAGTGTTCGTCAACCTTTTTCAAAATGGACCACCCTTCACTTCACTCAAAATCTGATTATCACCATATCATCACCATGTGGTCACCAAATGGTCATCACCATAAATTTTTAATTGGTCAAATACTCAATTTTTAGAATGAATACATGTGTCGGGGAAGTTGAATATCCTTATCCGTGTGTCCGGAGTAAAACCCTAATTGAGTCCTCAGAGGTCAACATGCACACAATGTATTGTAAAGCCAAATGTTCGTATATTGTAAAGATTCACGATCGAATTGGATCCAACTGATAAATTAAAATATACACTCAAATATTAAATATCTGCTATACGGTTTAAATTCAAATCAGTAAGCAATACAAAACATAAAAATCCTATATTCTCAACTCCCGAATGAAGGCCGGAAACACGTGACAAATCGCTCGATACAAAGAATATTGCTGAGACTTGTCGCTTGTCGCGATAAATCATTACCAGAGAGAATAGGGCACTGTCCTATTCATTGAATTCAGATACTATCAATACAAAGAAGTTAAATACCATCAAAATCTATAGGTAATTCCACATTCGGACACATGCACTACCGACACAAAGCGTCATTATTAATTTAATGTCACAGTTTCTCTACGATTTCATTAGGCAGTTGTACAAAGCGAGGTTGTTTCAATTGCCCATCTAATTAGTACATCTGCATTCTTAATTGAATTCTCTTTTTATTAATTTTGTTGAAACGGTGCAACTTCAAGTGGCGCCACCCAGAATTTGTTGTAGTTTTAATATGTTTTGAACTCCTTTTTTCCAAATCTAATCGTAATTCAAGAAGTTCACCAAAATGGTTTCCACAATGACAACATAATTACAAACATCACGTGTATATGCCAAAAAATACAAGACCAAATACCATTTTCTCTAGTTACTCTGTCCAAACCAATTCTAGTTAATCGATGGCTTGGCTTGGAAACGCTAGACAGGCGTTATGCATAAGTTTAAACACATATATATATATACATTTTTTTTTTTATAGTGACAAGCTTCAAACTTTTTAACCACTTAAAACTATCGTAGGCATATTGCTTATTAGAATATACCTTACAACCTTTTGGTCCATCCCATCGATGTGGTACACCCATTTCAAGTTTTTGGGGTGTGCTATACACCCGGTTGACGAGCACTGATTATGGCGTTAAGCTAGTTAATATATCATGAATAGTGCAAATTCGTTAATGTAATTTCCACCGAGACGAAGCGCAAAAATAGGTTGCAAATGGTTTGCCACTAAATACCATTATCTTTTCACTAAACCGTGCGTGATTTGCACCCGTATTTAGTATATAACTTTAATTTGATATTTTATGCTAATGTGAATAATTCATTCTCATATTTTTTTTCGAATTCTCGAATTGTCCAACAAAATACGCAAAGTCATAAAGTATACCCCTGGTTCATATACCTTGTATGCTTATGCGGGCTCTGCGAATCCCATCGTTGACAAGTTTTTCCACAATTTGTGACAGCCATCTTTCCTCGGTAACTTGCCCCAAGATCAGCCGTATTCCAACAGTCATAAGCTGTAAGACAAAAACAATAAAATTTCAAGGAATATGCCTAGTTAAGAGGATAAGTATGTAAATGTTTCTCGATATTCTTTGAGTATTTTTATATAAAGAACATATGATTAAAATGTGTATCAGCTTCCATGATTTCATTGCTGGTATTAATTTTTGTTTTCGATCCCCAATTATTACGCTCCGATAAAAAAAAATATTGTAAAAAGTATCTTACTTTCTGAAGCTCCCGATACATCTCTGACTAACGCCAGTAGAAGAAAAACGGCGACATGTCCTTCGAAACTTTGCAATTTCATTCTTGCGGTATGAACTTTGCAATAACCAGGTATAAATCTATCAAGTTGCTTTCATATTATGTATTAAAAAAAAAAGATAATCAAATAGAGTTTTATTATGATAACATGATGCGTTGAAAAATTATTTCACACATTTACATGTTTTACGGCACATTTTGCTAGTGATAAAAGCCTTAATGGATTAACCTTAAAAGTTTACGAGTGTGCTATAGTTAAATAGATTAAAGCTAAATTTTATATTTAGAGGTTTCGAAGTTTGTAAAAATAGTGAATTCTGTCGTGCTGAATTTGTAACTGTGAAAGATTCACAGTCACATTTAACATCTTCAACAGGGCGCACTTCTGATAACTATGTCTAAGATTGTTTCTCGATCTTTGATTAACTGAGAACAATTTCAACGTTGAACGTTTGTTAGTCAATGTTTAAATCAGTAATAAGGTCGAATTTCAATTAATATTTGCGATCTAAATAGCAAATTTCTAGACAAATCACATTTGTTTATTGTGTTCTTTTGAACTAATATTGGCATCCACTCGACTTTTACAATTACTACGCTTTAATAATAACATAGAAGATAATATGTCACTCCATATTGAAGCAAAGCTCTATATTGTTATAATTCCACAGAAAGCATACCCCAACTACCGTCATAACCCTAACTCATATTTTCGCACTTTTCTCACTTTCTCCAGTATTGCCAATACATGAAGCAAAGCATGGCCATCATGGTAACTCATGACAGACCTCAATCCAATCTCACCGGAATTTTAAAACAATTGCATTAGTAAAAATGCATAAAAAATTGCAGTATGAGTAATCACTATCCCATTAATTACACTCTGTGCGTGAGTATAACTAAGCCTTGCTGAACGGATATAAAGTAATTTGATTGACAAGTCGTGAGGATCGATCAAAATCAATTATAAGCTTTTCGGAAGTTCGTTAAACGCGTAGAAAATAATAGGAGACTATGTTCACATGACATGTTGAAATAACTGTTAGCAGACACCAAAGCAATAGAATAATATATGATGGTAATTTTTGGTTTATTTATTTTTTTCTGAATATCAAACATATGCTGACTTAAATTGTGCAGTTCTTTTTACAATCTTTGGAGTTGACATACAATTCAATCTATGCACAGTCTATTTGCCCTTGGATTTGGTTTAAACAAAAGTGCCACCAAATAAAGTGAAAAGCATGGGAATTTCATCTTTATGCGCATTTTTGATTGAACTACACTTACAATTGCTCCAACTTTCTTAATTTATTTTTATCTATAGCATCACTTCAAGTATTTTTAGTTTTTGAATACGCAAATGTTCGAAACTTGTGGTCCAAGTTATATTCTGCGGTATTCTTTTTCGTTATTTTTTATGTAAAACACATTTACAAGTAATCAAATAAATCTAATCAATAACACGACACAGTATTATGTAAATGATATTTTACTACGTCGTGAGTGCCAAGCGTGTGCTAAACTTCGTTGCAGTTATCATGTTTATTTTGCATGTTGCATATTACCTTAACACTGATTAATGAATGAGCAAAAATAAAAACCGAGGATCAATATTTATATGTCAAAACCCTTCTCACGTTGTTAAATCTATTTCCTATTATACGTCACAAATTAATTCATCATGAAGGTGCATGAAACTCAAGCAAAAGTTACAAAACCTAGACGCATATCCCTAGGAACTGATGATAGTATAATAAAGAAAAAATGTAATTGGTATTTTTCTGGTAAAATGGGTGGTAAATGCCCTGTACAAGACTGTCTAGCATATGTACTCCACTTCTCTGGTTTGGAGCTTCTCAACTATTATGAGGAATCTTTTTATAAATTTTTTTTGGTATCAAACATGGTATATGTCAGGGATGGCGAACCACTGACCCGCGGGTCACAAAGTGACCCACCGCGTTCTATTCGTGACCCGCGAATAAAATATTAAAAAATGCTCACATATCAGTGATGAAAATTGATAAACCCGGCTATAAATTAATCCAACAATAACTAAACTATTATAATGTACCTTCAGTTGGGCAGTCAGGGCTGCGATTGGTCGTATTCAAATTGTTAATTTTCGGGCCGGTATGGTAATTTTCGAAACCCCCTAATCTTAGAGTTAGACGCATGTCTACACCGCTGTGTACCGCTATTCATCTATTGGCTCTGATATCGTGTATGACATAACAATGCAATTGATCTGTTCATTTCTCTAATCTACTCGTCTCTTTCGGAAGTGCACCTGCAGACTGCTGTAGGGGTTATATGAAAACTAGATGCTGATCAGGGGCGGACACCCGGGGGGTGGGGGAGGGGGGGCGAGAGGGGGCGGTCGCCCCCCCAATAATTTCGTAAAAAAAATTTAATACATGTTGTTTCCGCCTTACAAAATTATCATTTCCGAAAAGTGCGATAGTCAAGCGCAATTAAACGGTTAATAGTTAGCAATATTATAACTGTTTTCTTACAATAATGTGGACCAGAGCGCCTTCGGAGCACCTCACATTTTCGTGAAACATGCGCGCCCGCACGGGTAATACTCCGTCTTCAAACGCACCGCCGACCACGCGCCACAGTTTTGCACAACTAATTCATTTTTGTACAATTTAATATGATTTTCTCATTGTCAAAATCTTTCAATAGTGTTATTGTTGGCACTTGCGAGAGAAGTGAAAGAGGCAAACTGTGTTTCATTACAACAATTAATTAATATTGCTAAAAAATTAACTAGATCTAAAGGTAATATAAACAATTTTCACCGCTGGACGTATCTTTTCTCGTTATGGATTTTGTGCAAGGCCCAGCATAATTTGCGGGCAAAGATCAAAGCATTTACTATGTCAAAAAGTTGAAAAGCGGCAATATAAAATACTAAAAATAAAACTGTAAATAATATAAGTTTTGTTGAGGCCCGCGACAGTCTGAAAAGGCTTTTCTAGGCATCGAAAATCGCAAAATTTCGTGTGCTTACGGCACAAATTATGTTTGCTTGACCCTCAAAAACATTTCGTTACTAAATTCGAAACACGGTCAATTGTGAGCGGGATTTGCCTTTTTATCCATTACTTTTAAATTGACGTCGAAAATTTTCGTGTTAACAAACAAAGCTGAGAACGCGACTTTTCCCCGGTTTTTGATGATATATAAGATAAATAAAGTATATTCGATCACTTTTTGTATTTATTTATGTATTTTTATTGTACTGAAATAACTTTTACTACGTGAGAATTGACAGAAAATTTACGGATTTTGGGAAAGGGGTTACCTTTAAAAATGTGTGACAAGTACATCTCAAATTTATCGAATTCGCAAAATAGCAAAAATACGGATCAAAACACTATATAAACGGGCAGTTTACCACACATTTTTATGTCCGCGGATTGCCGCCGTGTTTTAAGGTGGCTCTTGTTTTGTCGACTCAACCGCAGTTTAAATTGAAGACACTTAAATTAATAAATCAAGACATTTTGAATATGCCCGTATCGGTCTTTGATTGATTTTGCACAAGTGAAAAATCATTTTTCGTTGATAAAGTCTGCTCTTTTAACAAGTGGCGTAATCGCGGCGACTGTTCCGCGTGGATTTCGAGGCGGTGAATTTGTATTTTTGATTTACTAGTATACTTTATAATTATTTTCATTGTATGAATTAAAATTGTACTATATGAGATTTTATATCAGATATCGAGATTTTTGTAACGGCGATAACGAGTTCAGAAGATTGCAAAAATAGGTATCAAAATTAAATACATCAGGCAGCTTATCTCATATTTTTATGTCCACATATCGCCGTGGTACTTTTTAGTAATATTTTTATTTTGACGTAAGAAGTCGCAACCGCGAGTTACGTTGCACACTATTAAATTAATATATAAGGACATTTTAGAATCTCGTGGCTGTCATGGATCGACAGAAAAATCATTATACGTTTAAATAGGCGGCTCTTTTAACGAGCGCATAATCGCGGTGCTTAGTGCGCTTTATGCAGAACTAGGAATTGAAACAATAACCTAATAAGACTCCTCAAATATGTTATTTTCTGTTTGTTAGCAAGAGCTGTGGGCTAATTCTCGCGGAATTCAAGAAATTGGTTCAGTGACGCGCAAGTTCCGTGTCCGATCAAAGCAGCCTAGGTACTCGATATATGAGTAGCAAAATGACATGCTAATACTTAGAGAATGACATCGACAGGTTATTGTTACGTGACGATACACGGCGCGGTGTTTTTCGGTAGGCGATCCAAGTTCGCCCCCCCCAAAAAAAAATTATGAAAAGTATCCGCCCCTGATGCTGATGTGTATTTTATTAGTTCGAGTGCCTTAAAAAGTCCCTGATAGAAGTGCTGCATAAGTAAAGCCCAAAATTACACCAACACCAACAGAAGCTTATAAGATTTGTTCCAGAAGTTTCTTATAGATACAAACATCAATTGAATATCTGTGACCCACTCTCTTCTGTTCCGCGATAAAATTATAATTTTGACCCATTCATTGAAAAAGGTTCGCCATCTCTAGTATATGTGCTCTCATTGTCCTCCTTATATAACAAGATTCATATGCAGTTTGCAATACATTGAGGTAAATTATTATCACTTCTACCAGAAGAGGCATGCCACTGACACTTACGCGGAAGTTTAGATACTGTATAAGTATAGAAAATATATGCGAAATAAAGATTATTTCGAATATTGTTGTCAATGATGATTAGTGTAGATGTTATTTTGTGTGGACTTCCTGTGGTTCATATCAAAGCAGGTGTTCTCACTTTCTAAAATTGAAACACAAACAGAAAAATTACTTGAATCCGGAAGACCTTGTGATAACGAAGACTGTGGCTTCTCACTTTGGCTGAAGGCTGTTCAAACTATTAAATCGTGTTTATCTCCTTGGATTCTATATACTATAGGGCTACTCAACTATTTTTACTAAAGGTCCGTACACGAAATTGAAAAATTACTGCGTTCCGGTTCCAGATTCCAAAAAATATATCTGAACTATGTACACAAAAATCTAAAATCATCTTTTGAGTATACTATTTTGCAAAATCGGATTATTGATCTAATTCTACTTTCGAGCAAAGTCGCGAAAACACCATGTCTGAAAATCTACGAAAAATGTATCCGAACGGTCTTTGAAACTTACCACCATTGACATGTTGCTGAATAGCCAATGCTAGTAGAGCAAGCGGTTTAGCGAAAAATGCATTAGGATTATGAAATAATGCATTCATAGGGAAAGAAGCCGCTGCGGTCCAAATTTAATACTAGAAAGGGCCGGATTCGGACCGCGGTCCGCCAGTAGAGTAGCCCTGCTATATACAATCTAATCTGAATAGAATTTTTCTAAGCTGATTTCTTAAACCACAGGTACAAACAAGGAGAGTTCATCACAATATCTATGTCTGGATTAAAGATTGTAGTTCTCTCTCGTAATCTGTGTTTAGGATTAAACCGACTAAGCAATTACTTCACTTATTATTTTTGTGAGTGCGCGTCAGAGTTTTCTGGATAAGTGTTTTTCGTTCTAAAGTTATTTATTTTTCTATTACTGAAACGTAAAACCATCTTTCAAATACTTGATACTCTTGTCGACACTGTTATTCAACTCTGTAGGACACAATGTATAAACGAAAATTGAATGAACAAGCTGTTTTAATTTTAGTTGAATTATAGGAAATTATATCGATCATTAGCATGATTGCTCGTAGGATAAATCTATTATATTTCCTTGACAATCAACTGCTAACTTCGTAGTACAGGATACATTTAGAGCATAAATTATCTAACTATCGCAGTTCTATCATTCGCCAAGAAGTATTAGCATTCCGAAAAATCTATGGTTTTGCATTTATTGCATGTGGCAACTAAATCTGACCTGCGTCGGTGACTTCCATCAACAACTAGTTTTTTAAAGTCAATTTCAAAGCTTTTCCTGTGGAAATCTACTATAAACCAAAAGGGTCTTTACCTATTTTTTGATACATTATCTTATTCTCACATGGGAGAACTAAATATTATTCAACACACGCAATTAAATTAATTTTTCTTGAAAAGTGTGCTAAACACGCTTAAACTAAATATATATTTATAAATATATATATATCTTTCATTAAATTGAATCTAGGGCGACATCTATAATTTTTATCTTCATATAATACCCCAATTTATGACAACTGTTCAATCAAATTGCACTAAAATTATTATTATTTTTTATACTTGATCATATAATTTTATTAATACAGGTCCAGACTATAATGAGCGAAAACGATTTAGGGTTACTTGTTTTCAACAGATAAAATAATACCACATACCAACCTGAAGTATTCATTTGGCAATATCAAAAAATTTGTTGATTTTGAAAGTCAATAGTTATACACTGTAGTTTTTAAGGTGTATAAAAGAGCTCACATAATGCTCACACTGTTATAGTTAGCTTAGAGTTGACATAATAGTTTTATTAAAATATGTGTATCCATTGTATTGGAATTGGAACCAATTAAAAGTATTAAAATGGGTAAAATAACAATACTAAAATTAGACTTTGTTATGGGAATGCAAATTCTAAAATATGAGGTAACATTGCACAACTAATATTCCTCATTGCTTCGTAACTTTCCTATTAAGCAGCCTAGCATTCAGCAAAGGTATCGTTTTCAATCTTCTCATTCTTCCATTTGACAAAGATAATAGAACTTTTCCGTGCAATTATGGTCGTTAATAGACCAGTTATCAGAACTATCTAACCATCCACATGGATCCGGTCCAAGTCTTTCCACCCAAGTATTGAAGCCACCAGATGATACGACATTTGCTACCAGTTCGCTGAAAATGAGAAGTAATAATAAAAAACCAACAAAAAATAAAATGAGGTTTTGTATAGTTATTACGTAATGTTAATCTTTGGGGCAATTTGGATATTATTTACACTTTGCCCATACGTCAAAAGTTGTCAATATTAGTTATAAATATATATATGAGATGCGATATCAGCATTCAATTTTATACTGTAAAATATATGCAAAAATAATAACCTCGTTTTCGCCACTAAACACTTCAATAGAAATTTAGGCGGTGTGGTTCATCGTGCTAAGCGTTAGGAATACGCTCGCGACCGCAACTAATCCGATACCCGACATGGAATGGTAACCGGACGAGAGGCCGTGGTTCGCCATATGGTTAAGCCGTCTTATCGCCTTTCTTCTCCCCCGGAATAAATATGTAAATCTTATTATTTTAAAGAAATGTTTGTGAATATAGGACAGGAAAATCATGGTCGCGAAATAATGGTAACAAATAGTCGTCAAATCATTTACTATAAAATTATTCAATATAACTGACTACCTTTTTAATCCAGAACTATTCAGACCGTATGCAAGTGTTGCCCCCATTTTTTCACATTCTTCTCTTGCTGCATCATAAGTCACATTTGTTTTAAACAACTTGTACAAAACACCGCATTTTGTTTCATACCAACCACCAGGTGATACAAGAAGACTTTGCAATTGCTTCTTCGCGTTCGTAAGATCACTCACCTAATGTAAAGATTGTTAAAAAATTTCGTTTTACATGCATGCAAAGTTTCACCGAGAATTATTACTGCTACACTAGCATAAACTTTAAATTTTGAAAAGCCGTGCCTACAAAAAAATTTGCGCTATGAACGTAAGTAAGCGTGATTATTTTTATCATCGCAAAATACCATAATGAATATAAAAAAAATGGCTTGTTCGAAATATTTCCACAAATTTGATATTGAATAACTTTGCCTATACTGCGAACATTTAACTTATTTTAACCTTCAAAAAGATTGTATTTTCCTGAACTTTCGGTTAGACCTTGTCCCTCCAAAAAGTTATGATTTCTTTCACCTCTAAGTTAATGCGCGTATGCCTGCTTGGAGCCAAATCTTTTATGGAAACTAAATGTAATATCCAGGCAGTTTGATTGTTTGCACTTTTACAAAATAGCTCTTAAGGGCAATCTTAAATTTTGTCGTCATCAGTGCTGAACTGTAATTGTTTTATTGTTGCTATCGCAATCTTGAAAATAAATCGACTGTCTTATACTAGAATCCTATTTGTTGAGATTACTCCACCATCTAGTTAAATATGACAAAAAACGAGCGCACGTCTCTCCCATCATTTATACAAATCTCAAATGTGAGTTGGCATAGATTTTCTGATTGTTTCGATAGAATCCTCCAAGCTACCATTATAATTTCCTTCATCCTTCATTTATACACAATTAAGGACTTCTTTACAATTTGTAACCTAGCCTTAGCATATAAAGTTTTGTTGTTGCGCCCGATGGATATGCCCAATCCAAACTTGTACGTTACTGATTGTACATGGTGATTTGTTTTGAGACAATTTACCTCTAAATTACAACAGGTAAAAAATGTAAATTAAATTAGTAGAGAATTGTACAATTTGAGGTAGAGGTCTCAGTATTATTCCGTGTTGTATAATTATATAATTTCTGTGAGTTGTTTCCACCGAAGCATGCTTTTTCAAGGAACGTGCAAAAAATACATAAGACATGCTGAAAACGAAAATATATTTAAAAAAAAGTATTTTCTCATAACTAATAAGAAATAATTTCAAACTTACTGCGTCAGATATGGCCCGTCGTGAGCGTTTTATGTTTCTTTCGACCTCATCCATCACATATTTTAATTGCTGTGTCTTTATTGCAGCATCTTTGTTAATTTCTCCTAGTTCTGTTCAATTTACAAAGAAAGTCCATTAATCAATACAATATCACTTTTTGCATAAAATTATAATCACTTTTGGCATCCACGACTTTTTATTATTTGACACGACGTGCACATAAGTATCGTTTTGTAAAAATATTCGCTGAAGACATCGCTTTCTCCATAGCTAATGGATTTCTTATGAAGAACTCATAATGAAACAAATTGCCGGAATGCCATAACTTCAGTAAGGATGTGCAACTTTTGCGCCAGTGTATTTGAACATTGTTATTTTATAATTTCTTAATCGTATTTATTCCCCAATAAAAAAGTTTTTCTGCATCATATTTGTTCATCGAATGAATGAATACGTCTTCTTTTCTGAGTTTAACGTCAACTTTTGTTGACATTTCTACTAACTCAATCTCCTATTCACATTCATGAATTTTTTTATTTATTGCAATGTTTTATTGCGAATATAAGTCAATGTTCATTATCTTTCAATTTATTAACATTTGACAAGAGGCCAATCAGATGCGAAATGGTGATGTTCAATTAAACATTATTATTAACACGGGAATTCTTTTAATTTAATATTTTGCTTGTGAATATATGTTGATAATGAATGTCAGTGAGATAAAGTTATTCCCGACCTCAAGATGTTGAAATTTATGTAATGTTGGGAAATACCTTCCTCGATTGCTTTCACTATTGCTTCTTCTACTTCTGTGATGGTTGCTGTTCCTAATTCTCGCTTGTCACAATATTCGTTCACCCCGTCAGTAATTAATTGTATATGTTGCTGATGGGCCGAGCACAACGGACTACCAATTAGCATAGCAAACGTAAGAACTAGGACATACATTCTATAATAGGAGTAACAAGAATTATTTGTCACTCTCACAAAATACATAAATACTCCATGCTACTCCAATGAGTATTGACAAATTTTATATTTTTCAACTGGAGAAGTAAGGATTCAATAAGGTTTCTGTTAATTGTACTAATGGGTAAAAACTACTTTATAATTATTTTTATGGAGGATTTCATGGAATTTGATTAGGAAAACGAGATTGCTGGTAATTTGCATTCCAATCAAATTTCACATCGTAACGAATAATACAACATAAAGGACAAAATGAGTCTTTTTTCTGATAATTTACTCAAACTATACCGTTACAATTTTCACTCAAAAGCAATTATATAATAAGTCATGATATAATAGTAATTTGCCTTATTTCCATTTACCCAAATAAGCATACTGTCTTAAACTTCAATCGACCGAGCGATTCATGATCAGATATCAGTCGATTCTTACTATAGCATATAACTTTGCTAGAGTAACTAATGGTATGCAGTCTCTTTGGCTCGATTCCATTGGATTGACATATTGAAATTGTAGTATCCGATAATTTGAGTTCGGCACAGGCAGTATCGCTTATTTTCAAATATATATCAGAAAAATATAGTAATAGTATCAATGACAATAAACAATAATGTTAACTTCTCTACATTGCAAATACTAGAATTCGCTGCAGGAAACTTCTGGATTGCTTCACATACACAATGTTTCCAAACAATGAATGAATGTTATTTTGCATTAAGTTGTATTAATAGAACTAGCAAACGAATCATTATAGCAAGGTGCACGACCTTTGGATAGATTAAACTGTATGATTACGTACTTTTTCTATTTTAATCCATTTTCGATGGTTTACTTCCGGAACAATTGTGTCTAAAATATTTTTGGCAATTGTCGTGATTTTGTTGCGTCGCTCCACCTTTAAATTTGTCAAAAATTGCACGTTAGTGTGCGTCATATGCAAATTTATTAGGTTGATATTTCTGTAAGGGGGATTAAGTAAAACTTTGTCGAGTTTTACGGGATCACAGTTGAAAGAACATAAGCGCCCAAGTAACTTTGTATTTTAGACCATGCAACAAATCCTAATGACACATTCCCAAAGGCTCATCAACGCAAAAAGTCAAATCCACCATTAAGTTCTTATTCTTATCATAACAAGTATACTAAGATTACATTAAATTTTGCTAATTCTTTTTAAAAGGATTTTAAAAATTCCAGAGAATATTTATAGTTTCGCACATTTTAATAAATCCATCAAAAAGTTACGGCACGTCTGGTCTAATTTCAAATATTTCTAAGCGTTTAATATATTTTAATGGCTTATGAACCGGTCTACATGATTATCTTTCGTTTAGATGAATTTGATAGCAGCATGCAAATAAGAGCTAAACTCAATAATGGAGTGCATGGTTCATTAGGCGTAGTTTTTTGTATATGTTTACAAAGAGAAATGTAATCAACGAAATAATTGAAAATTTTCAATAATGCAAATTCAAAGATGGGGTCACCTTAAATACCTCAATATCAAATATCGTCACGCTAATACCAAAATTGCGTAGGTCTTTTTTATCGTTCAGAGAAAAACCTTCCATAAGATATTGTTATTCCATTAGGAGTAAACATTTCCAATGTTTTATTTTTCATTAGTAATCGGATTTAAATTTATTTGTATGGCGCGGCATGTGAAGTCATAATGGAGCACTGCGACATGCGCAGAAATGTCTATGGCTTGAAAATATACGCAGTTTTGCAATCTGACTATATCCATCAGTGCTGAAAACCAAACATTCGAGAAAACGTATGTAATTTATAGTATCTACGATGTCTAATCCCAAAACATATTATCTGTTTTAATACCACTATTTTTTATATTTCAAATATAATTTATTTTAATATGACGCGCTCTGCACACACCCCGAAATAAAAGTTTTCATAAATATAAGGAATAAAATAGCAGTGCATTTTAAATAAAAGTCAACTGATATGAATTGGACTCAGGAAGTGATTTCACGAATAATTTCCCAATTTCCTATACCATAGCGTAAATTCAATGTTACAAGCTAGACCAGTGATTCTCAAACTATGGTTTGAGAGCAGCATGTGGCTCTCAACAACCTTTCCTGCGGCTCTTGTTAATTCTTTAAAAATAAATTTCATTGAAAACTAATCATTGACTTGAAATTAAAATTCGGAAGTCTATTAGTTAGTCGAATGGATTCCCCCGTGTTTATTTGCGTAGCGTTGGCTAACTTACAAGATGCAATAGTGACGCAACAGTAAGCGCTTTCGCGGCCACTCGAACACTTTTCACTTGTAAAGATTTTTAGACATGGCTGTAATCATTGGCTTGCTTTTGTCGATTTTCAGTTTTTGTCGCATTCCCGAATATTATGTGTAAATCAAATAACTCGATGATTATTTTAATTTCTATAGAGCATTTTAATTTTGTTCCAGTAATCGAAAACAGTCCCGAAATATCTGGCGATCATCTCAAGCAGCTACTGCACCTTGCATCCTCCACGATTACGACCCGCTTTGACAAACTTATTAGGAATCAAAGCCAAATTAAATGGCTGTTAGTCTAGAATGAGCAAAATCGAATCTTTTTTTCGAATCGAATAATTAGAATATTTTTAACGAATAGTCGAGTAATGAATATTTTTTATACATAACGGGGATCCAGACCGTCGGAGGTCGATACTCCATTTGGATATTAATAGAAACATTTAAATGTCGGCAATAAAGCGTTTTATTACTGGTTAATGGTTAATTTCATCATAGTCGCCGATTGTCTTTGTCACCGCGATCGTCTCGTCGGCGTTATCCTAAAGTTGGTATCAGCGACAGCTGTTACAGACATTAGGGGCTGATTTAAAAACCAAATTAATTTTATTCTGAGTTTTATCCCCTGCCTTGGATTTGAGCTTACCTATCACCGCTTGTAAATTATCCGTGCCTGTTTAAAGGTAACGGTAACCGAGATGCAGATATTTATTAAAATAATAATTGGGTTTCTCATGATTTTCTATGGTGTTCGTGTTATTTTAGTATTAGATAGAATCCTGAATGTTGATTTAAAATAGCGATTAAATTAATTGGCAATATAGGCATTTCTAGGCCTTTGTGCCTAATAGAGGGTACAGACGCTAATTGTAACTAATTTCTTCAAGTTTCAACTTTTTTTTTAACAAAACAACACCCCGATGGTTATTATAGCTAAAATACTTACTTAGTAATGCTAAATTTTCTTTAGGAAATTTGCAAATTCAGCACTTCACTTAATCATTTTGATTATGTCAGCCTTAAGGCTTAATTATTACTGCCCAAATGCTTCAAAATTTGATAATTGTAATCATTTTCGATGATAATAGACGCAACAATTCGTGGACGAGTCAGTGTGCATTGTTACAACGAAATTCACGATTGATTTTACGTTCTACTCTTAGCTCAACGACCATGCATGGTCGAGTAAAATGTTTACATATACGAAACATTACTTGGCCAGGGATGGAAGGGATCAATAAAGAGCTAATACAAAGTGCTTTAAACTAAAGGGAGTAGGACATGACATTTCTTGTATGGTTATAACTTAATGAGTGTTTTTCATACAAGTAACTCATACCAACTTTTGGTCATTTTTAAATCCACGTATTTATATAACTAGAGTTTTCTAACGAACTAAAATCGCCTTTTTCAAAATGAAACGCCGAAAAGTCATTTTGACATTTAATTTTATTCAACTTTATGTTCGGTAATGCAAGAAATGGCTAATGACATGTACCCAAGCATGCGTAGTTTGAAATCTGGGAAATTTATTTTAAATACCTAATCTGGTTTGATGTTTTTAAATTTACGGAACGGTCGGTACGTTTTTTGCAAAATATGGAATTGAAACGATACTTTGAGTGCAAACATAATCATATAACATCAAAACGCAAAAACAACGACTTTTCAAATTTGTCATTTTTTTCTGTTAGCGAGCGCCGTTGGGAAATCTCGCACAAGTCACCCTGAGTTGGAGACGCGCGAGTTCGGTGTCCAAACAGAGCGGCGCAGGTCACGTGGTATCGTATATTCGAATAGTAAAATGCCATTCGCATATTTTATTATTTGAATATTTTTCCCAGCCCTAGTTGTTACGTGTGTTGTTGTTACGATAACTTGGTATTTTAAATACGCGCTTAAAGTTTGTTGCTATGTTTGCGTTGTTTGTGTGCGGCTCTTCATGACTTTGATGTTTGAAATGAGGCTCTGGGACTAAAAAAGTTTGAGAACCAGTGAGCTATAGACTCTAAGCTGCAACCAGAGGTAGCAGAATAAATTTTATTCCTAAAATACTGATAATAAATTTTGAGAAACAAGAAATATGTGCAATTAAACTCGCATTGAATGAAGTAGAGTAAGTAGCGTGGTTGTCCGAGATTTCCGTTTTCAGATCACAAACAGCTCATGATATCACAAGTGTAATTCGAAGATGACTCAACATGACTGAGGATAGCTCAATTTTGACAATTCATGGCTTATCTATAATTTTGTTACAATGTAAAAAATAGATGAATTTTGGATGAAAACAACAACAGTTGAAACCATTTGTATTGCCTTTTCACGTCACAAGCAAAAGCCACACCATGAAAAAGACATTTGGGTTAACTTCAAGCGACTAAACTTCTGATGGGAACAGAATTGGAAATGCTGCAATATGTATTTATCAGGAAGGAAGCAATGTTTGAATTTAAGAAAATTGAAATCGTGTTCTGTTGGTTTAGTAGTCAAAGAGAGAGGTCATATCAACAGGAAAACGGATGACAATTTGTAAACAGGTAGAAATACTACTATGTTGTCTAAACTAAAGGCGAGCCAACAACTAAAACGTGATGCATCGTACAAAGAGAAGGTTCCGAACTGCGTTAGGTCGTGCTCATCTGACTAAGTACAATTGCGACGACATATTAAGTTGGATCCTCATGCTGATTTATCTGGTAAGACAGTGGTGGGGAATTGCGAACCACGAACTAATTTTATGTGGCCCTCGAACGACCTCTCTTTTATCGCGTAAAACTGAATTACTTATGAATTCAGTAGTATATATCAGCGCACGAATGTATGTTGCAACAGAGGCTATGTGGCCCACACGATACCGTCAATGTGCATATTTGTTCCAGTGGTACATAAAGTTTGGCGACCCTTGTGTTATCTTATGACATACAGTTTTTCGCCAATCAAACTGTCCGCAGAGGGTTCCTCATTTTACCACAAGATATCTCAATTACACAGAGGTAGGGATGGCGGAATCGACTCCGGATTCGATTCCAGAATCGATTCTTAGTGGATACGAATAGAATCGATTCCGAGGACTTGATATTAAAACATGGATTGCAAACAAAGTATAACGTTGTGTGACACATATATGTATGAACCTCCATGTGAAGTTTGACGTCGCAAACGTCACTATATTTCTACACACTCCCTTCCCATTCGCTCGTTTGCGCGCGTCAAGGGCGTGTGCCACATTTCATTTGTATATTTTTTTGTTTCAACTATTGCGTTCATAACCCCTTTTTACTTGAAGCAAGATGCATTAGGTAAAGCAAAACGACTGTTGCAAATTCGAGTATACAATTTTTACACCGCAACCGGAATAGCAAAATACCTCTTCAATAGAACATATCAAGCATATATTGAAAATCTCATCAATGATGGTATTGACAGCTTTGAAGCAAGGGGTAGCGACATTGGTGGATTGGCCAGGGAGGTGGAGGCTTCAGTCGAGATATAAAAATATTTGAATGACAGAAATGTTGGCATATCAGCGAAGAAGAAATGCTGCAATGGTGGCAACAAAACAAAAAATCTTATCCAAACATCGCGTTGTCGTCCAAAAGTACCTCGGTGTCTCATCAACATCCGCTGCATCAGAAAGAGCATTTAGCTCAGTGGAGCATATATTGTCTCCAAATTGCAATCGAGACTCACAAGAAGGCATGTGAACGAATTGAATTTTAGATTGCAATATATTTTTGTTTGCTACGACAGTGATTTTTTGAACTCGAAGTGGACATACAGATCGTTTTATGTTCGTATATGTTCGTGTTGTTAAAATTCTTTTTCTTGTTATTGATAAAAAAAAAATAACTCTCACCTACTCGAACTATTGCTTTGAACTTTTCAGTGGGTAAAAGTTGTAATTTTTTTTCTAGAAGGCTTTTATGTTTAATTTATGTATTTCAAAATTTTCTGTGGGCTCAAAAGTCTAAGTGATACGATTTTTGTGTACGATTTCAGTTTTGGTCTATATGTTCATATATTTGAACATCGCTCTCTTGTTCGATTTTATATGGTATTGCTTAAGTGGGTATGTTTTCTGGGTAAGCTATGCCGAGGAATCAAGATTCGGAATCGAGAATCGGAATCAAAATTTAAGGAATCGGATAAGAATCGAATACTTGTGAGTAGTCTCACTTAGCATCCTTACACAAAGGTGGTAATTATACGCTTGTCCGCAAAAGCAATACAAGAAACGACACAATAATAATAATAAATAGTAAAAAACAAGCAAAGAACGCCACTATCAAGTAAATTAAAAAGCAAGTACTGTCATGTTTGAATATATATCAAAATTAATGCGCGTTTTGGCACTCATTGAAAGTTCTACGACTGAACATCTTTGCCTAAAATTACAAATATGGATCCGAATAGTAACACCTGAAGTTTGGATATGCACTGGGCAGAACGAATTCGAACATGTTTCTGTCGTGCTTATTTAGATGCGTGAGGTAGAAAAAAGGCTACAGTTTTCTGCAACATTTCACTCTGGTCTACCACCAATTCCTACATGGCAAGGCACCATTGTTTTGATACATCATTCATATAACGTTTGAGCATCGCAATTTTACCTCGGCGTGCTGTTCGTTACCTGCAATGTTTTGTAATGTGTTGCACGACTATAAATACTGAATATAAAGAATGCTAATAACATATTGTTAGTTGTTAGCATATACGTTTGATGCCTCCATTTTCACTTCCGATATTTTATACAAAATAATCTAAAAAAAAAAACATATGGCAAAATACAAGCCAGAAAATCGTGCTATTATCCTGAGAATGTAGAGTTCGTTTCAGGATGAACTAATTATTTCTTACTTCCATTCCTTATGATAACAATAAGGTCAATACGTGCGAGCTATTTAACAATATTTTATCAAACTAAAAGTATTCAAACTGATATAAAGTTAATCGTTGAATCACATCTTTCCTCCAGATATGTATGTGTATGCTGCATGCGCTTTCGTGGTTTATATGCTTCAAATATTTTCGTTTACACCCGCAAAATTATTCTTCATCAGGAATTTTATTGTTTTTAGTTTAATATAGTGTTCATAAATGAAAAGACTTTATTAGCCAAGCGCAAGCAGTAACCATATATCAATCCTATCGTAATATGTTTTGTTCTAATTATACGAAAATTATTAATTATTATTTAACATTAATTATTAATTTCTTCCATTATTAGTATACTGTACAGTATATATTTTCCAGCTTTAGAACTCTTTTAAAAATATCGATTGCAGTACCAAGTTGAGTTTAAGAGACCCTTTCATCTGAGAACAAGAAGATGAATGTTAGTAAATAAACTATATCAATATTATAAGATTTGTATCGCGAATTGATTTCTTTCATTTGCGTTATTAGTTCTGTTTTTACGTATTTGGAAATTGTTCTTAAGCCTGCAGTGTAGTTGTTATTTGAACGTCAAGAAATGAATCGTTGTTGTGCACAAATGCATACACCTGCTGATAAAACATGTAAAATCTGCCTAAGACTGATAGTTTCAGCCGCAAAGAGATATTAAAATATTTTGTACCAATACTGTGGAATAGCCCATTTATTAGTCATGTTGTTTATTGCATATTGCCTAATGAAATTTGATTGATAAATCGTCATTCATGTGTCAGTTTCAGATGAATTATACGCCAAAATAATTTTAAGGTCTTAGAAATCACACAAATCTTGACACCTGCTGGTTTTGAAGCTTATTTGTGATGACAATTTAGCATTTATTATAAAATAACAGGATTGTCCATGCGAAACGTCCCGTGGGATGGGATGGGACAGCACACATTTGTATTTCCCATGAGACACATGGGACACGAAATACCGTATAATTTTCGTGGAAATGATGATAAAACATTTTGTTATGGTCTTCTTGTCCATATTTTTGAGCATAGCTTTCTTGTTAATTATAAAGAGCAAAATATATTGAGCATTAACAATATACTTTGTGAAGGGTCAAATGGACACATGTATATTAGTTACGAATTTAAAGTTAACAACGTCAGTAAATTTCGTTGTTTTGCTTGTCTCTTTGTACATGTAGTCCTATTTAGTAGTTCTAAATTTAGCATTTTTTATTGAATTGTGTTCCAATGGGAATCCCACGGGATGGGACAGGTATGAATTGCTATGGAATGGGACGAAAAAATGTGCTCCATGGACAAGCCTGTAAATATATTACGATTTGATGGAAGCTTTTTTTAAGCGTTTAAGAATAATTTTGATTATAATTTTTATAGATGAACCGTTCAATCTGCTACTTCATTCTATTGTTTGTTGTGATTGGTGTGACTACTGTAGAAGGGTAAGTTAAAAATGTTTGGATGGATAACGCAAAAGTGCGGTTAGTTGCTAGATGTTGCGTGAAGCCGTGGCCTTCTTTAACAATTTATCCTAATTAAGACCACAGATTGGCACATTAAACTTCTAGCTCAAACTTACAATCTTTTAAGCTCAGTTATCTTTTGTTTAGTACGTAATCTACTTTTGGATCGCAAAATTTCCCGGGTCGCCTAACTTTCGCTGAGCATGCAATACGGCTCACACAAGTCACATAATTTAAAAGTTAGAAGTGAAATTTGTTCTGACCGGGTAGTTCCAAATGCGATTGAGTGATAATGTTACCAACGTCAATGGAATTTCAATGTATATATATATATATATTTTACGAGTGCCACTCCTTCAAGAGACACATGGTTAATCTTTCGGCAGAGATAAATAGCGCATAGTAAATTGGCACAACTGACGGAACCTATATTGCTAACACATCTTGCGTGAACTCAAATGAATTAAAGACGACAATAACGTGTGATTAGTAATATACTTCATACCTGAAACAATTGTATAACTATAAGGTTATAAGTACACCATCGTTTGTCCAACACTTGCTTCGTAGAAAACACTATTTGTTTATTCTTTATTTTTCAATTGAGTATCATGAGTAGAGGCGGTCGTCAATCGTCACACGATTTTTCAAATGTGCAAAATGCGACGGAACGAAAAAATATAATGTAAACAGACGATTTCAAATTATATTTATTAAAGGTATGGTAGATACGGAAGTAGAGGTGGATATGGAGGATATGGAAGTCGTGGAGGTTACGGTGGATATAGAGGAGATATGGCTGCGGGACTTGGTTTGTAAAAGGCTTCATTTGTCTTAATATTATACTGACAACTGGAAGTACTTTTTCGAACTGGCCATTTCTGTATAAGGTCAAGTGGGGTTATATAACTTCGTCAATGAGAATTTTTCGAGGCACGACATCACATTTTTATTTTGAATTAGTATAATTTTCGTTAATTTGTTCTTGAGGGTGAAAATTCATGCAGCTTTTTCAATTTTACGTATAGCCTACTGATTCATTTTCTGTCCTAGACACACACACATCTGGCAGGATGCTTACCACTATAAACAAATAGTGTTCATATGTATTCAGGTACAATTACCTAGGTATCGAGTACATATATCTTCCATGTATGTAACTAGTACTCCATCATGTAGTAAAATGTCATTGATATATGTATATGTGTAGGTTTTGGGAATGCATTTGCCAATGGATATTTAAGGGCATAGAAAAGGCATTTTTCGTGATCTTATTCAGACCCATTATGAAGTCACCATGAGTATTTTCTGAAGTGTTGAAGTCAATCAAGTGAAAATTTGTTAGTTCAAATAGAGTTCATCCGACGCTTATATTGTTTTACCATGTATAAATACTTGCTTCATATTTTTATTGAAATTTAAACTCTCATATTTTTAGATAAAGAACTCAAAGATGGATTTGAAGAATTTGTTGAATCTCTTCATGACTTGGATGCGCTAGAATAGAACTCCAACAACCGACCACATATGACGTGATATGGAACGAACTTACATTCCCAAATTTGTTATCAAAGTTGTTCATATCAATCAAATAAATCGGTTATAAAACAGTCATCTCACAATCGCGTCAATTCTTTTCGCTGCAGCATATTTCGACCATACAACATGTTCTCGAAACATTCTGTCCCTTCCAAATATTGCAGTTTTACATATTTTGTGGCTCCTTGTTCGGAGGGAATGGCGTAAATAAGTGCCGTATACAAAGGGGTAGACAATTAGGCGACGAACCAGCGACCCGCATACCCCGCGGAGGGCATCTGTGCGGCCCGCGATTAAATTTTATACTTTTTTAGTTTTACTTGTACTCCGTTACATGATTAAAACAAAAAAGCAACACGAAGGACACACAAATACGTCTCACTTTGAAGTTACTCTATTTTTATTGTCGTTCTGTCAGACGACCTTGTTTCTCAGACAAATGCGAATCGGAAAAGTATGCTGTCCCGCAGTTAGACATTCATTCGGTTCGTGAGGCGGCTTCACCCAGTGAGGCATCTGACTCAAAATTTTATTTAGAGGTTAGGAAACATTCGAAGTTATTTGATGTGACAAAAATATAAGACAAAATTGCTGTCGGGTTCCTGTCTTTCTTTTTCGTTTCCATATTCGTGCAATAGCCTATCCATTGGTCTGCACAAATTCTAGGAACTTTGACAAATAAAGCTGTCAAACATGAATGTTAGCATGTGCATGTAAGGTTGACTCCGAGTTCGCCGAAGCCACAATGCGTTGCACTTGACAGAATAAAATAATGCTAATGTGTGGAAAAATAAGAACAGCAAAATCCTGGGTGAATCATCGGGTCGCATAGGAGTTGAAGGATATTTAGGAAACAAAAAGAAAGAAATAGCCTCCTGACATCTACTTTCATTTTAGGAAGCCATTTCCTTCCAATAAAAACAGCCTCAACAACTGCAAGCCCTAAAATAATAAAATTTAAAAGAATGATTTATATCTACACCTTGTGGCCAATAAGCTGATCGACTGAAATATGAGGCTATTTTTTATCAGAGGCTTTAGAGCAGACATGGGCGAACTACCCGGCCCGTTAGGTAGTTCAATCCGGCCCGCCTGATGCTGCAACAACCAAATAGAACCAAAATATTTTGATGTTTAGCTAAAAATAGCTCAAGGAATTTGTTGAGATTAAGATTAGTTTAGGCATTAGACTCGTTGTTTTCCATTTTTACATTTGTAAAACTAGAAATATTGTCCATGAAATGTAACTTTTTACGTCACACTTCTAGTTGGGCCCCAGGTCCAAAATCCGTTCCCACCCGTGCTTTAGACTCCTAGACTACGTTATTCTGCTTCGTCACCTATAAGTAGTAACAATGCGTGACTAGTGTTTTTGTATCTCGATGAAACAAGAGATATCCATTACACTGCACAGCTGCAAAGTTTTTACTATAGGATTACTGCCTTTATCTAATGAATTCTCACTGTCATTTGATACGGCGAATTGGCTCTTCACACTTGAATAAATACGAAATAAGTGACGGAATATATGTTCCGTATAGTCGTGATTCATGTCCAGCTTTTCGCGTTGAAACAGGTTGGATGTTAGAACAAGTCAGACCATGAGTTGTATAATATTGACCACTATTTGAAATTGGGTAACCAGTTCGGTTATTTTAAGTTACATAATGATAACATAAAAATGCAAAAATGTGGTGGGCAGTCAGAATCTGCAAAGCTTTTTCGGAAGAACTAAAAATCTGTGCCGTGTTCAATTAAATTTTGTTGTTAAAAAGTACGGTAAATAAATTGAACTTGTCTTTGTTCCTTTATTAATTTTCGACGTGTTGCGCCATTACCAACTACAATGTCGTTATCAATATTATCAATACCATCAACGAATTGCTTTACAACAGTGAGACTTTGTCAATTACAGATGTCACACGCTTGGATGTAATTATATATAACCTCATTTTTAAATGCATTCTGCCTATGGCTTCGAAACATTTACGATGTTCGTACAAACCTCATAGTTTTAATCTAAATATTTGAGTAAACGACACATTATTACTTATCGATTTAATCGGTAAGCATGTTGATAGATATTTGTCTGTTTTTTTGTTAGATGCACGCGATATCTCACGAAAGCGAGGTTGGATCTGCTCCAAATTTTGCATGTGCATCCATCATAGCTCGGATCAGAAGCCTGTCAATTTTCGATGAAATATATAATATAATTAGCGAGTTATTAATTAATTAGTGATAGGACACACGGTGTCACTATGGAGTAAGAGCGCTGTTTTGTGGATCCCTAACCTTCGATCGATAAGTCTTCGGTCTCCGACCGATATTCTCGTTAATATTACACAAATAGAATGTAGCTCGGTTTTATGGGCAAGTTGAAAATCGGAAGTAAGTGCACTTAAATGAATTTCACTGAATGATAGAGTTCTCAAAAAAGACTACTTCATGGCGAAGTTTTGCCTAAAGTTATCCTCATCAGTCCTCGACTACCTTTATTGCACTTAGTCGTATAGTACTTCTGTTTCTGTGAAATAATGGGCAAATGCTTCCACCATTTAACTTTGGCCGCATGCCTATGTGCAGTATGGTTTTACTTGCTTAACTGAACGTGACGAAACCCAGCATCCTCAACGCATTTCTTGCAGTGTTATTATATTGAGCATCTCCAGTCCAGTCCTGTCTAAATTACAAGAACATTTTACAAAAATTCACCAAACAGGCAAGTATAAAGAAAACACGTTGGATGAATTCGAACAGAGGGCATATACAGTCAGCCAATTATACATGTACTGCCAATTTAATATGCATATACAGCAACTCAATATACCAATACAGTCATTTGCGTGATGTACAAATACTGTCAATTAATTTCATAACCAAGCAATGTATGTGTATGCTGTATATGCGGTCTACAAGTTATACGCACATTACGGTATACATGGAAAATCCGGCTTTAGTCGGATGGGCAGATATATGGGAAGTCGCAATCTAGGAAATCATAATACTCCACAACAGCTGATCGCTCATATAACTAGAGCGTAAAAATGCAAACAAAAACTTCGAAAACGCTCGAAATAATTGTAAAGTAGACATACTAAAATCCCATGATATAATCATCCAGGGGTAACGCCTCTGCATGTTGATTGCGCACAATAAGACTGCGGGTGCTCGGGTTTCATGAATGTGTACAATAGGTTGCAACCCATATTGCCATAATACCCCACAACAGCTTATCGTTAATAGCATCTCTCCTCAGTGAATTATCTTTAGTCATTGGCTGAAAACTGTCGACAAGCTAATCAAATTAGAGCTTGGTGAAGAACTATCACTACTCACGTTAAGTTTGTTTGATTTAATACGCATAGCCAGATTATTTTTGTAGGAAAGCCTCAGATAAGGCTATTATGGTTGACGAATTGAGATAGTGTGCTTATGCTTGCAGCAACTTCAAACGTCCGTTGATTGAAATATTTTGGAAATGATTCGTCACAAGCGTAAAGTGGAAGTAATAAAATGCCATGATATAAGCATCATTCACCGATAATATTCTACATGGCGTTTACGGACAATAACTGCCGTTGAAAAATCAACTGATCGTTGATAGCATGATAAATGTGCTGGTGACAAGTCAGTCCATATTATTATGAGTCATGCTGCATAATGGGATATTAATTATCTCTACATATTATAAATAAAACAATAATAAAACATCTAATTTGTACCATAATGATCAATTGACGCGACTGACTGTAGTTACTCATATTTGAATACACTATTAAATAACTGTAGTGAATGATTTCTAATAAACTCACAACAATACACATAGTTTATTTATTTGCCTTGTCATAATATTTGTCCCCACATCCCATTAAACTAACCAAACTTGATTTTAAGAATCATTCTATATCATATTGTTTTCGGTGGTGCGGCGCATGCACAGATGGTTTTCACAAAGACGTCATAACCCAAAAGTCGAAATTTTCATGTTTCCGTAATTGCCAGGATTGTTGTATTTGTAACCTATTTCATGTAATTCTTATGTTTCTCATTCTTCTTCGCATTTTTTCTGTTACAACGGTCTAAAAGATGACATTTTGCTTTTTATGTAACAAAATATAAGTTGATATCCTAACACTAATTTTTGAATTTGTCGCCAGTTCGCTATGAGTGGTCAAGCAATAGTTTAATGATGAGAGATTTTTAATGTCGTTGTGCCTACAACACATCCCTAAGGCTAGTCACGTGCTGCAATGCTCTCAATCATCGCTATTTCATACAGTTACTTAAAGAAATGACTCCTTAATTCAAAGTTTTCTTCCACCATTCAGCTCGTTAGCTATCTCGGGGGAATGGTTCGATTTGGGTTTTTGCACGCACAAAACTTATTAAGTTTCGATAAGATGACAACTAGTGGTGAGCTGTACCTGGAACGCACAGGAACGGCTTTCCGGTTGTTGGACATTTTATTGCATTTGCCTGCCTGTTGTTAAAAAAAATTAGGTTACGAAAAGCCAAGTTTCTCTGGTTAAACTAGTTAATAATTTATGTTTTGTTACATTATAATTCGTAATTCCTTCGTACATCACATCACGCAAAGACTTAGTACAGAAGTAACGCGTAAACTGTAATATATATTTTCCCGACCTTTGATCCCATGGAAATTCATCCTATACCTTTGTGAAAATAACATTTGTATTGAATTGCTATAAATATTTCTTGTGATTCTACACAGACATATTTCAGATAATTTCTCCATATTTCATTGCAGTTCTTCGACTACATCTTAGGACAATCAAAACATTCTTTCCGCGTCGTATTACATATATTACATTTTTGCGAATTAGGTGCGTTCCGGTTGTTACGATTTTTTCAGCTCATCACTGATCACGTCCATCTTCATTCAGATACGTTTGAGGAATCTAGTTTTGTTCTTACCTTGACCTACTTGGCAGGCATCTTTGCTTGAATAATTTCAACTGTCAGACGAAGGGAGGTGGAGGAAATGTAATAGAAGCCGAGAGAAGATGAGTGCTTTTCGGGGGGAGGGGTTGGGGATAGCGAATGGTAAACAACAAAT